ATGTACAGAACTCGCGAATGACGATAATGATGATGATGATAATATTTACCATGGCATTTTCATCAATTGAATCCAAACTCATGACGGTGACGTGAAAGAAAACTACAGTAGGATGACCTTCTTTTTTCGGGGGTCTCATTTTGTCATAATGTTTTGGATTTTCAGGTAGGATGTCTTGAATCGTTAAACTTGTTCTTTAAAAAAGCAAGATGTCAACGTTTCAATTATGACGTTTCATGATTACGTCAATGATGATAATAATAATAATAATTAAATTTAAAAACTTACTGAAAATGTTCGGCGACCGTTACGACGACTCCAAATATTAATAATAATAATATTATTTTTAAATTTAAAAATCCAAAAAAATTTTCGCATATCATTTTCGGTAATCCTTAGATTTAAAAGGAAATAATAATAATGATGATAATGATAATAATAATAATAAAGTGTAGTCGTCAAAGTGAAATTTCTAAAATTTTTTCATTTTGTCGAAATACAATAACCGCGCGAATCACTTTTGGAAAATCGAAAAAGGGGGGTGGAAATAGGAAAATTATTATTATTATTCAATAAATAAAAATATACGTAAATGTATTAAAATCGATAATAATAATAATTATTATTATTAATTTGCACATTAATAATTAATTAATTAATTAATTTTTTTTTGATCCGAAGTAATTTCTTTTAAAAATTAACCAAAGTTTTTTCCGATTCGTTTTTTTTTTTCCCCAATGAATTCCTATTCGCACATAAAAATTTACATAATAAATAAATTATTAATAATAATAATAATATTAATAATAATGAATATTAATTAAAGTTGATACGTGTAGAAAGTTAAAGTCGATACTGAAAAATTAATTTCATCTTTTTTTTTCTCCTTTTTTTTTCTCTTTTCCTTCCTCCCCCTCCCCCCTCACTGCTGCCAACCTTTTTTACGTGCGCCGAACTCTTTGACGTGTGAATGATTTTTTTCCGTAAATTTTCTTCTGCTTCTTTTAAAATATTTTTATTTATTTATTTTTAAAAAATATTAGATTACCAGATATATGTGGTAATTAATTGTACGATTTTGAAATTTTATTTATAGAAAAAAATATTTAATTATGTAGTATCATTTTTATCGATACATAAAATTTATGTGCATAAATTACGTAAAATATTTTTACGCGTAATAAAAAAAATGAAGGAATTTTTTATTTAAATAATTATTTAAGAAAAATTATCCCTTCGTTCGTTTGTTTGTTCGTTTGGGAAATTGTACGATTTGGCATTTAATTATTATTATTATTATTATTATCGTCGTTGGTTTTTTTGGGGGGAGGAGGAGGAGGGTAGGGGAAAATTCATTTCCGGTAAATAATTAACTAACTTTCCCTAACCTTAATGTATATTTTGTAAAAAATTAAAAAAAAAAAAATTTCACGCTTGATAAAAAATTTTATTACGCGAAATATTATATAAATATTTATTAATTTTTTTTCCAGAAGGTGAAATTCTAGAAATTTCTAAAAGGAAATTATATTTCGAAAACAAAATCGTATAACAAACATAACTTCAATTCGTAAAAATGTTCGATGGAAAACAAAACAACCTAACAAGAATACCGAAAGCCCCTCCCCTAATTTTTGTTATTTTTTTTTTAGTTATCATAGAGAAAGAAAATTCAAAAAAAAAAATGGCGGAAAGTAGATCGTTACAGATTTTCAAATTCAAACGAACGTAAATAATTATTATTATTATGTACTGACGTCACGTCGAACAAAACTAAAAAGTTTTTTTTTTTTCTTTTTTTAAATCCATATAACCCAGAACAAAAAAAAAACAAGAAAAAATAACGATTTTCCTCTCTCCCCTCTCCCTCTCCTCCTTTCCCTTCTCCCACCCCCTTTCTTCCTCCACGTCTTTTTTTTTTTGTAATTTTTAATGAAAAATATTTTCCCTTAATTTTTGTTCTATATAATATTAAAAAAAAATAAAAAAAATGTTCGAAGTTGAAGAGTTTTCAAAATCGCTTAGTTAGCAAATTGAGAAGTGGTTTCCTTCTCAATCGACCACTTCATTTTTTAAAAAAAGCAACAACAAAAAAAATCATTATTATTATTATTATTATCATTATTATTGTTGCCCCGGACTATATTTAAATAATAATAATAATAATAATACGAAAATTATTATTGGAGAAAAATCGAATGAAAAAAAATATTATAGTTTTTTTTTTTTTTTTTTTACTCCCTTATTTAAAAATAAAAATATTATCATTATTATTATTTTTGTGTCGTCTGCTTGTGCAAGGAAAAGTCATAAAATCAATCGATCGATGATCAATAATAATTAAAGTTTAATAATTCGATCGTATTTTAAACGAGGAAAATATTAATAATAATTATTAACGAAAAATTTAATGGCCTAATCAATGACCTTGAAAATTTTGTTTACAATTTTGATAACGTTCGACAAATTTTCCGAATAGATAAACGTTAATAAAAAAAATTTTGTCGTGCACCTAGAATCCGCGAAATTTTTTACTTTAAATAAATACACCCGACTCGTCATTTCAAAATCAAAATCAAAAGCGACGAAAAAAAATTAAAAAATTTGAAACGTGTCAGTAGAAAATCGAATAAATGGATTTTTTGTAACGAGAACTCGCATTATTATCATTATTATTTGCCAGAATCTCTGAAACTAAATCCACGTCATGTTTTTTTTTTTTTTTTTTTAATTATTATCAAATGACGTTTGATTCGTGGTGTTATACATATATATATATATTAACTGATAAATGTGATGGTGTGTGTGTGTGTGTGTGTGTGCGTACACGTGGGTACGATCGCGTGCGTACACGTGCGTGTGTGTGTCCAACCGTACGTTTGCATCCTATCCAAAGTTACGTAAAAATAAAAATTTAAGTGACGTATTTGATTTCTCTTCCTATATATTTTTTTCTAGGGAGATTCAGATTTTAATTTTAGTCGTCATTCAGATTTAAATTTAACACACGACTCGCGCGTAACCTCTCGTTTTTAATACAAAAATATATATAAATAAAATTAAACGAAAAAAATAAATAAATATATCAAAGTTTCGTGGTTTTATATTCTCATTCACCCACACACACAAAAAGTTATTTACGGTGTCACAAAACGTCAAAACATCATCATCATCATCATCATCATCATCATCATCATCATCATTATCAGTGTTATTATTTTTAAAATATCGTGTCGTTAATTAACGTCTTTTTTTTTTTTTTAATTGTGTTTTTTTTTTTTGAGACGTATCGATTTTGACGAATACGCCATTGTTATTTATATATATATAAGTTTTTTTCTTTCTTCGTGGATAAAGTTTACGTCGCGAACAACCACGTTTGGAAATAAACAATCAATCATGGATAACTACAACCACGTCGAAATTTAACGAAAAAAAAAATAATAATAATAATTGTACGTTGAATGAAGATTTTTTTCATCTAAGGTAATTTAACGTTTGTCACGGGTATGTACGTGCGTGTGTGCGTGTCTCCGGGTAAAAAATTAAAAAATTAAAATTTAAAATTTTGTCGGCCGCCATTTTAAAAAATTATTACAAAATGTCAATAACCTAAAAATTTTTTATAAAAAACATCACACTTCATTATCATTATCTCTTAACGTCCGAAAAAAAGAAAAAAAATTGTTATTGTAATTATTTACTTGATTCGTATCGATTGTGAAATGTTCAAAAAAAAAAAAAAATCATTCTAGATAATTCCACGACGATCAATAATAATAATAATAATAATAACAATAATAACGAGTCTAATTAGAATCTGAAAAAATTGGAATCAAATGTTAAAACTATAAATATCAATAAAATTATTATTATTATTATTATTATTGTTGTTGTTGTTGTTTCTGTTTGTTGTTGTTGTTGTTGTTGTTATCGTTGTGTTCGTTATTTTATTTTTTACCGGTGTATAATTCAGGTACCGTTTTAATAAAGTTACCGGTTGTTAAAAAAAAAAAAAGGAAATTATTCGCGTGAACTAAACAACACCCACGCAGACAACAATGGTTTTGTTTAAAAACAACCAACCGACAATCACAACAACAACAACAACCATAACAACCTTCGGAAAAATTATAACGAAATAAATTTTATATGTAATAAAATTAACGCTTGGTTAAATTCGAAATTTAAAAAAATAAGACAATGGCGGCAAAATTTAAAAAAAAAAAAAAAAAAAAAAAACTGATTGTGGACCTGATTTCTGCCACTTTAACAAACCCGTAAACTCAGAATAATAAAAATAAGAAATAAAAAAAAACGTGAAAAAAGGTCACAACTATATAATTTTCCCCATAACACATAGTACGTTTTAACACTCAATCCTAATATAAACCGTGGTTCGATACACAGGTATTCGTATTTACAATTTATATTATAAAATGATCGATTTTATCATATCGTTAACGTTTCACTCGTAATTTTTCTTATAATTTTTTTTTTTTAAATTTAATTTTTCCCTGCACAGAATCCCACACCTGTAAGAGAGTAGGCAGAGGGATTCGAATGAGTTGAGAGAAAGAGAGATGATTGCCGAGGGGTTACGGGTACAGTAAAAAAAAAAAAAATTTTTTTAAATTGTTTAAACAAAAAGAAAAAAAATGTGTTCGATACGATGACGTAATAAAAATCAATTTTTTTTTAAAATGTAATGCAAGTGCGCGGTTATCATTATTATTTTCCGTGGAAAAAAAACGTATAATGGATACACAACAAACACGATGGTGGAAGTTTACTATTTAATTTTATAAAATTTTTTTTTTTTTTTTTACTGTGAACAACGGTAAGTTTTTCTAACTTTCTTTTTCTTTACAAACAAACAAACGATTACAAACAAACAAACAAACAACAAACGAATACTCGCACATACCCTTTTAAAAAAATAATTTGCTTGTGGATTTTTTTAAATTTTAATTTAAATTTCATTTCAAATTTTAATTTCGTTTTCGGAATAAAATAATAATAATAATAATAATTTATTTCTAGAACGTTCTTAAAATTTTACTTGCGGCATATAATAATAATAATAATAATAATTGTTTCGAAAGATGCAACATTTTCAAAAAAAAATTTTTTTTTCTTATTCAAGGTTTTTGTTACATCTTCGTTAACCAATTAGCGACTATGAATGAATCGGTTAGCCTGCATTTTTTTTTTTTTTGTTACGCTATTAATCGTTCATAATCATCATCATCATCATCATTATTATTATTATTACTTAACGTAATTTTATTTCTATTTAAATAAATAAATTAAATTCGTTTGGCTGGTATTTTTTGTAGGCTTTTCGGTCATGGTCAGGAGGTATGGAACATGTCACATGAAATGAACGAAAAATGAATTTTTTTTTTTTTTCGGATTAAAAATCAACTTTTCTACTCCCACATTTTAAAAAAATTCCGAGAAAGAATTTGTTGCAAACACTCCTTCTAACCATAATAATAATAATAATAATAATAATAATAATAATAATAATAATAATAATCATAATTGTGTGTTTTGCAAAAGAAAAGTTTTCTCTACTTGAATTATAATACGAGGAGAGAAAGATGCTGCTGAGAGAAGAAGGAAATGAGATGTAGGGGAGAGGGGGGAAAAGGGGATAATAAGATGAAAGGAAAAGAGAAAGAAAGAGAAACAACCCGGAACAATGATTTGCGAGAGAGAGAGAGATAGAGAGAGGTAAAATAATTTTCTTTTTTGAAAATATGATTTAATGTCGTGATTTTATATCGAATCGAATCGAAGGTGGTCAACTTACAAAAGTTAATAAATAACGATTTGATATTTACATCTGGGAAAACTTTTGATAATAATAATAATGATAATGATAATAATAATAATAATTACGTGCCTTTAAAAAAAAAAAGATGCCGATCGATCATTTTCGATGAATGAATCGTCATTACGTAAAAAAAAAAAAAATTTCTAAATCCTCTCTGTCTCTTCTCTTTACCGACCTTACGACTACTACACCTTACGATAATGATAATAATGATGATGATGATAATAATGATGATGATGATGATGATAATGATGATAATTTAAATGTTTAATTATTTTTTTTTTCGTAACCGAAAATGGAGTTTTTATTTAAAAAATCTCAACAATAATTTCATTGTCAATCATACTCGTTAATTATTTTCTCTAACGAATTAATTTAATATCGAACAACAACAAACAGAACAACAACGACAACAACGTAATATTAATGATGATGATGATGATGATTTTTTACGTATAAAATTTTTTATTATCATTTGATTTAACGTGATTCCGTGTTTTGAATTGATTACGTAAAACGTTTTTACAATCCGAGAATTTTAAATTATTATCATTATTATTATTATTATTATTGTTTTTTCTAGTCGTGTTTTTGCTCTAATATTTAAAGATACTTGTGTACGAGTGTGTAATAACAGCGCCGTAATAAGGTTAATTTTTTTTTTTTTAATCGTAATAGAATTTAATAAATGGTTTGTTTTTAAATTCGATTTAATTGTATGTCTCTCTCTGTCTCTCTCTTATAATTAAAGTAATTTAAAAAAATTATTTTTTGTCTTTGTATTGTTATTATTATTATCATTATTATTATATATTGTTTTTTAAAATAAATTTTTTTTTTTGTATTTCCGGTCGGAGATGAAGGAACCCTAAAATTTAAGTTTTAATTACTTTTTTTTTTCACATCGTCTTTAATAAAATTGTTCATTTTGATTTGTGTCGTCGTCGTCGTCTAAGTCGTATAAATTTTTGAATGAATTTAAAGAGCCCTGCCTTGTCCCCCCACGTTAACCCCCCCCCCCCAAAAAAAAAAAAAGAAATTTTTTTCAACTTGAAATATCTATTTAAAAACAAAAAGTTTGTGATCGTTGTCGTGTCTGTCGTTATAATATTTAAGTATCAAATTGATATTTGCAAAAAAAGGTTAAAGGTCGACCCTTAAGCGTGAATAAATATTATTATTATTATTTAACCGTTCGAACATTTTTTTTATATTTATTTTTATCTATGATTGTTTTTTGAATGACGATATTCATTGATTTAATTGAAGAGAAAAAAAAACGTCAGAACTTGAATTTTTTTTCTAAATAAATTATGTAAGATTTTTTTATTGCCACGTTTGGTTTATTACATGCGAGAAATAGAGAGAGAGATAGATAGATCGTAAACACACGAAGTGTATTTCGTAACAAACAAACAACAAACACCAACAAACTCTGACTTTTCCCTCGGGTAAAATGACACACCTCGCAAAAACTCCACTTACGGAATATAAAAAAAAAAAAAAGTTTCAAAATTCAATTCCAAATGAAAGAAAAAAAATGAATACTAAAAGATAGAACGTTTTCCTTTTCTAGAAACTTCACATTACGTACGTAATAAACATAAACGTCCTTAAGAGAGAGAGAGAGAGAGAGAGAGAGAGAGAGAGAAAACATTTTTAAATCAATAAAAACCGCCATTATTGGTTATTTAAAAAATATTTTTACGCGCGTTTTTAGTTTTAAAAAAAAAAACGCACGCGTATACTTGTACTTTTACGCGCGTTATTATTATTACCTGCTTTTAATAAAATTATTTCCTACCTGTTTCGTTTCCCTTTTTCCTTTTAAAATAATTATTTTTAAAAAATAAAAAACGTCCGCCATTTTAAATTTTACCTATGAAAAAAAAAAAAAAATTACTACTTCTTTTAATAATAATAATAACAATGAGAGAGAAAGAAAGAGAGAGAGAGAGAGAGATAAAAGCAATTTTTACCTGATATTTGGTAAAATAGTGTCTTGTCAAAAAAAAGAAAAAAAAAAGTAAAAAGATTTATGAAATGGACGTAAATCAATAATAATAATAATAATAGAAGAATTTTTACGGTAGATTTCACGTTTTTAACAAAAAAAAAAAAAAATTTCCAATGATTTTCTATATATTGAATAAAATAAAAATAAAAAATAAAAAACATGGCCACCTACTCTCTCTCTCTCTCTCACTCTCTTTCTCTCCACCATTGTTTTGCCAAGGACTACTTACTAAATTTGTTATAAATTTATCATATAAACAAATTTTTATATCGTTGATATTATTATTAACAAAAATCGAAATTCAAAAAAATTTTTTTTATTTATTTGTACCTTAAAAAAAAAATCAAATCATCTACGATGAGATTAATGCCACGTTAATTTTAACGCGTGAATATGCGTTTGAATATGTGCTAATTGTTTTATTATTATTATTATTATTAAATCATCGCAACACGTTTAAGCTTATAATAAAATTTGCTCTAATTTTTTTTTTTATCGTGGGTTGCGTCGAAGAATTTATTAAATGTAAAAAAAAAGAATAATTTTCTTCGCCTTACAAACAGGAGTGTGAGAGAGAGAGAGAGAGAGAGAGAGAGAGTGGGGGGAAGGGGGAAACAAACTTGGAGATTTTAATTTTAAGGTCGTTAATACAAAATACATAACCTTTCGAATCAATAATAATAATAAGGAGAAGAAAAGTCAGGCATGTGTATGACGAAATATATGTAAGAAATGTTTGTTTTGTTTGTTTTGATGGACAAACCCCCTCCCGAATACAATATATCACACGTTTGTACGTTTGCTTCTGAAATTTTACGCACGATAACACAATAAAAATAAGATAAAGTAATGATATAAATGTTTGATTGCGGCACGCACACGCACACACACAAGCAAAATCATTGTCGTTAGCAAAGCCTAAAAAAAAAGAGTAAAAAGAGTACCGTGACGTACCATTGTATACATAATTCGATATGTTTATTATTATTATTATTATTTGTATTAAAGTCATCAACGTATTTATAATGTTTTGTTTTTATTTACAGTAAACATGACGGAAATACAAGTACTGCAAAACGGATATGCCGAAGAACCATTTTATGGTAATTCGGATAAGAAATTGATTTGCGATTGTTGTCCATACGGTTATCACATAGATTTAGATTTCGTTAGATTTTGTGAAAAATTATCGAAATCAAGCGGAGAACCGAGTCCTAGTAAAAAATTAAGACGTGAAAGAAGACGACAAAGACAATCGATGGAAGTTTTGCTAGGATTAACAAATCCCGCTATATGGAACATTGAACAATTACTACTACCCACCGTAAGTTTTTCCTTTTCTTATTGTTTATATTTTCTTTTCGTTTCGATACCTGAATTCGTTCGTGTTTATAAATAGATAGATAGTTTTGTTTTTGGGTCATTGACATTTATGCGATTACAAAAAAAAAAAAAACTTTTAATTAGTTTTACATAACATAATGTTTTTTTTTTTTTAAACTATATTGTTATCGTTTTTATTTTTATTATTCCCCTCCCCTACTCCCACCCTCGTCTTTTATCATTTATTATCAGTGTTAATAATTTTCCTTAACCGTTTTTTTTTTTTTTTGTCAAAAAATGTAATTGAATCAACCGTGTGCGATACACATTCCTACGTTAGTTGTTGTTGTTGTTGTTGTTGTTTGTCGTAATATAAATAAAAATACAAACGACAAATTTTTTTTAGTTTTTTTTTTGTATCGTTTCGTAATTCAATTCAAAATCTATGCTACGATTATTAATTTTAATATTAATAACCGGTAAAATTTATTGTACCGCCATATTTTATTTGATGCGTGAATTCCCTTTGGTAATTTTTTTTTTTTTGTATGATCGTAAATTTTGTTTTTTTTTTACAGATAGTTCAAGGAACAAATAATACGAAAACGTATAATAATAATAATAATAATAATAATATATATGAAACGGAAAACTCACCATCATTAAATTGTAGCAACGATGGACTCAATAAAGCAGTTTTGGATTTTGAAGCAACATTAGAAAGAACATCTAAAAAAAAACAAAAGAAAAAACAAGGTAAATTTACGTACATATATTAAATTTCTTCACCACAAAAAAAAAAAGAAAAATTTTTTCTCTTAATTTATTTAAATATTAATTGTTTTAATTATTAACAGAGCATGAAAATTACAAAAAAAAAAATTTTTTTTTGATAGTTGTACCTAACGTGGGTCGTAGTGTTTCGAAGTAATACCTTGTAAATTGTTGAGAAAAAATTGAAAATATCAATAATAATATTTATTCGGTTGTTGTTGTTGTTGTTGCTTATAGTCGTACAAATAAGAAAAAGTGTTAATTAAAAAAAAATTTTTTTTTTTTTTTTTGGTTTGAAATTTTAGATTTGGATTCAGTTTTAATAAATAATCGTCCAGTTGATTTTGGTGATGAAATGTTAAAAAGAGAAGAATCTCCAATTTATAGAACATATCAAGATATGAGTCCATTTGGTGAATTTGATATGATATCAGCATATAATTCTAATTTAGGTACAGGACCGGGTCCATTACAGGTAAATAAATACGATTAATTTTAAATATGGTTACTGAAAATATATTTAAAGTTTATTAAACTTTGTTTTCGTCTCCCTTTCTCTCCCCAAAAATTTTTTTCTCTATCGAAAAGAAAGAAAAACATAAATAAAAAATGAAATTCGTTTTTTTTCTGTAGAAAATAAGCAAATTTGAAATTTGTCAAAACCACCTGGATTTTCCATATTAGTTTTTTTTTTATTATTATTTTTACACTTTTTGAACGAGGGATAGAATAATAGATGTTGTAATAAATGTCACGATAAATCATATTTTATTTCAGAATATCCGGGAACAAATGGCCATAAGCTTAAAAAGAATGCGAGAATTGGAAGAAAAAGTTAAATTAATTCCGTCACTTGAAATAGAATTACATTCTTTGAAAAATGAAAAATATGATCTTTTAGAAAAAATAGAAAGATTAAAATCAACTTTAGAATTTACTGAAAAAAATTTACTCCGTCTTAAAAATGATAAAATGAAAGAAATGGAAAAAGTTGAAGATATCAAACCCGTATTGAAAGATGTAGGTGTTACTTGTAAAGTACTCACGAGGGAAGTTGGCATAACTCCAGTCGTATTGAAAAACAGAACCGTTGGAACAGAAACAAAAATGGAACAACCACCACCACCACCACCCATCGACCTCAAACCTCAAATTAACGAATCGGTTCAATATGAAAAACCCATTTTGAAATCCGTTAAATCTCAAACTTTGCTAAAAAACGATACGAAATCAACTTCGACCGATTTGATAATGGATGACATTGAACACATTTTGAAAAAAAAAGAAACGAGACTTTCCCATAAACATTTAGATGGTATTTCATTTACTCCTCGAGCCTTAGAACAATTGAATAAAGGAAGTCAAACGACGGTTAAAGAACCGGAAACAGTTTTAAAAGTTGTTGAAAAACGAGAAGTTAGCATTCAAGTGGAACAGCAAAAAAAATTAAATAGGGATGCTGGAACAATAGCTAAACCAAAAATGTTCGATGCATCGATCGATGCTAGACCTAAAACAAGAGATTATGGATCCTCGGATAATAGAACAAACGATTTGCTATGTGATAAATGTACAAATTTAAAAACTAGATCGATCGGTGTCGGTTTAGGAAATGTCAAAGTGGAAGAACCTAAAATTGATACGACTTCTATATACAGAAGTAAATCGTTTCAATTACCGGAGACTAAACCTAGAGTGTCGACCAGGCACATAGGTGTGGGTACTCCTTTACCTGTTAAAAAATTAACATCGACTAAAGGAGTAGGAACTCAAGATATGATGGCAATCAAACTTAAACATACGGGCATGAATACAATTAGGGTTGATGTAATAGATGCAGAATCAGAAACTGAACCTTTTTCAAATGAAAAATTTATTTGTGATAAATGTGTAAATGAATGTAAACCTTTGGTAAAACCAAGAAGTAGTAGTACAACAACTCCTAAAGAAAAAGATGATGTTAAGGAACCTCAACCGTCAAAAATTCCAAGGCCAAAGAGTAATCAGAGCACTCCAGTAATGGAGAGAAAGAAATTCATGAGGCAAGACACCTACACAAAAATTCCATATCAGCCAACAACGTCTTCTGCTTCTTCTGATTTAGGAAAGAATTCTAAAACCAGGTTAGTTTTTATTAATTACTATACCTAAAAAAAAAAAAAAATTATTTTTAACTAAAGTAAGTGTAATTTGTGTTTAAAATTTTTTTATTTGTATAAATTATCAGTTTCTTAAAGAAAAAATTGGTGTAACAAACTTTAATTTAGAACTCATGATTCAACTAAAACAATTTCTAATAATGATTATAACAAAACAAATTAACAAACAAACAAACAAACAAACAATACTTGCCTGTATATAAGTCATCACCATATTATTATTATTATTATTATTATTATTAAATGTAGATAATAGATTATTAAGAAAAATTATGGTGAGTGTGGAGAATAATAATAATAATAATTTTTCCTATTGGAATTTAATTTTCAATAATAATAAATTAAATAAACATGATAGTTAAACAAATTAGAAAATTTATTAGTTAGATATTTGGTGTTAATTTTGTGATACGAATTCGTGTGACGAAACTTCTAGAAAAAAAACGTTTTTTGTAATTAGTACTAACATTGACTAGTTTTAAATCGAGTTTCGAGTACTTTTTTGTTTAAAATTACTAATTTTTTAATTTTTGTTTTAATAATACTTACTTTCATTCATTGTATTTTTTTTCACTTTTTTTTAATTAAACGTTAAAAAAATAATTTCGAAATTAGAATTAAAAAAAAAAAAAAAAAAGTTCGTTACTCAAAAAAAAAAAAAAATTTTTTTTTGAATGTTTTCGAACATTGTTGCCAACAGACTGTCGGGTTTTGATTTTGAGTCATAGCCGGAACTAACTTGTCAATTATTTATTATAACGTTTATATAATTTAACATATATATGAACAGTGACATTTAATTTTTTTTTTTAATAATAATTCTAACTTACATGAATAGTTATTTATAAATCCCAAAACTATTTGTTACTTATTCATAACTTTTCCATAATTTGATCTTATTATAATAGTTAATATGATATTTAAATTATTAAATGGTTATTTTTATATGCAGACATAAAGACTTGTCTTTCGTTTATACAAAAATTGACTTTTCTATTTTTTTTTTTTTTTTTTTATTTCGAAATATTAACTAAATAAATTTTTTTTAGTTATATTTCTATGAAAAATTTTATTTGCATAATTTATAATCTAAGGTGTGACTATCTTTGAGTTGCTTTTGATATATAAACCTTGGATTTATGTGAAAAATTTTTTAAACAAATAAAGCACAAATTATTTGGAAAACAAAATTTTTTTTATATTTGTTTCTATACATGTAATGTTTACAACAAATGTTTTCTGAATTATTAAATATCAATAATCTTTGCATGGCAGAGTATGCTTTTAATCATTTTTGTGTACTTGTTAAAAAATATTAATTAATTAAAAATAAAATTTTTTTTTAAATTATATTTTTTTAGGGTAAAATCAACTTCTGAAAAACATCAATCACCATCCGAAGAAAAAGTTGATGTTACATTAAGAAAAAAAACTAAAGCTAACCTTGGGCAATCTCCTTCAGATGACAAATCATTGACTAAAGGTAAATATCAAAATTTGGAAAAATTAATTTATGTTATGTTAAAAAAAAAAAAAAAAAAAAAAGTTTTTATAAATTTTTTAAAATTCATTTTACAGATCTTAAAGATCTTAAATTAAACAGTATTGATAAATCTTGTGGAAACTTTGACGAGTATTATTTTGATTATGATGAAAATTATGATGATAGTTCTAAACGAAATAGTGCATTATTTCAACCAATTAATAATGAACCAAGAGAAAAGTAAGTATACTCCATATGTAATATTTTATGTTTAATTATATGCTGTAGTGCTGGAGTAATTTTTCAATCGAATACTGAAAAATGTTCATTTTATTTTAATTAGAATCAAACCTAGTAAAGAGATGATTGCTGCGATGAAAGTTGTAAACGATTCTCTTAGTAAATATCCAAATGGTCTTCCTAAACAATTAAAAAATGCTTCTAATATCATTCAACAGGAATGGTTCAAGGTAAAATATTTAAAATTTTAATTATTATTATTACTTATAATTATTATTTTAAAAAAAAAAAAAAAATGAAATAAATTTTTAAGGTGTCCAGCACTGCATCGGCAAATCCATTGGATGTCGAAGATTATTTGGATAGTTTCGAAGAAGTTTCTAGCATTCTTTTAGAATATATAGTAAATATGGTTGATAATAATGTAAGTAACAAAATATTATTAAAAAAAAAATTTTTATGATTATTTGTTTGTTAGTAATCATTTTTATTATTCAGGGAAATACTGCAATGCATTATGCTGTATCACATGGTAATTTTGATGTTGTCTCTATTCTTCTCGACTCGAAAGTTTGCAACATAAACAAAATGAATGCTGCTGGTTATACGTGTATCATGTTGGTATCATTGGCACAAGTTAGGTCAGAAACACATAGACAAGTTGTCAAAAGATTATTTCAATTAGCAGATGTAAATATAAGGGCGAAACAGGTATGTAAATTGTTGTTGTTGTTGTTTGTGAATGCGAAAAGAAGGTATGTTGTAACGTTTGTTATTGTGTTTATTTGCAGCACGGACAAACGGCACTAATGCTTGCCGTTTCTCACGGACGTTTAGATATGGTTAAATTACTCTTAGAAGCAGGAGCCGATCCAAACATTCAAGATGGTGATGGAAGCACTGCTTTAATGTGTGCAGCAGAACATGGACATTTAGATATCGTTAAACATATAATTGCACATCCAGAATGCGATACAACAATAGTTGATTGCGTACGTGAACATTAATTCTTTTAAAATTTTAAGATAATGAACCGATAAAGAAAAATTTCTTTTTTTTTTTTTTTGACAGGATGGTAGCACAGCGTTAGCGATAGCAATGGAAGCAGGTAATCGTGATATCGGAGTATTACTTTACGCACGAGAACATTTTTCTAATTCTAGAGGTAGTTCACCGTATACATCATTAAAACATAGAAGAAGTAAATCATCGAGTTCTCCACATCCGAGAACTCCAACATCTCCAAATCCTAATAAAAAATCTGATTTTTCAAATTTAAACTAACTAACCCCTCCCCCCCCCTTTTATACAAGTGCCTTGTCTTAAAGCGTTAGAGCTTAGAAATTAAAAAAAAAAAAAAATTATGTTATATCATGTCGATGTTATACGAATTTAATAAAATATCAATTTAGTTTAATTAATTAATTTATCATAACTACTACTACTACTACTACTACTACTACTACTAGTACTACTACTATCACAATGCGACTAACGAACAAATTAACCACAATAAAAATAAATTTTCTGTTTTTTTTTATTTTTTATTTTCTTTATTAAAAAAAAAAAAAATATACATATATAAATAAATATCAATGTAATAATATTATTATTAAGACTAATTTATGTAAATAAAAAAAAAGTTATTAAGAAAGAAAAAAAAAAACATTTTTTTTTATATACTAGTAAACTTAATAAAACACGTTTTAAAAGTAAATAAATAAATAAATAAATAAAAAATTAAAATATATATAAATTAGTCTAAATAAAATATAAAATAAAAATTGACTAGTAGCGAGTGTAAAACATTTAAAAAAAAAAAAAAAAACATACAATTTGTTATCAATGTGATGACGACGACAACAACAACATAAAAATGTTTTTGTTTGCTGAATCAAACACAATATTATTATTATTATTATTTATATAATTAATTTGTAACTGCAGCATCTTTTACATAATTTGTTGTTGTCGTATCGATTCCTCCTTGATTTTTTTTCGTTGGAGATTCCTATAAGCAAAAATTTTTTTAATTTTTCAGGTTTTTGATAATAATGATAAGAATTTATGTTAACTTACTTCCCAATTATTTTTCCTACAATTTTCAACTTCTTCGAATATTTTATAGATTTGTATTAATTGTATGAGTATTGTATCCCAAAATCCTGCTAAATCTTCTGTCGTTACCGGGTATCTTATACCAGAATTATTACCCTGCCAACAGAATATTCCCATTTTCAATACAACCCGATGGTAAAAAAACGGGACTAGGGGGTTGAGGAGGGGTGGAGGGAAACTCACCAAATTTTTACTACAAAGCTCTTCGAAAAGTCTAAATTTTTTTTTTAATAACATTTTAGCTTTACCAACGCCGACTCTCATTTTTCCCTTAACATCTTCCGGTATAATATCATTATCTTCTAATTCGTGTTCTGCCGTGAGTATCATCGTGTTAAGACGTGTCGTTTCACTCCGTAATAACTTATGTACATAAAAAAAATTTATTTAAATAATAACGATGATGATAATAATAACAACCACATCATTCCGTATAAATTTCAATTTAATAATTAAAAAAAAAAAAAAAAAATACTTACGGACATGTAATAATGACCATTTTTTATATCGTTGGATTCCATTTTTTTCTTTTTTTTTTTTTTTACCGAAAAATAATTATTTATTTATTAATTTAATTAAAATTTATTTATTTTTATATACGTAATGTTTACTTTATTATTATTATTATTGGAAAAAATGTTTTTCTTGCTTTTTTTTCTCCTTTTTTTTAAAAATTTTTTTTTAATCGTTGTTACAAACCAAAAAATTTTAACGTGACAACAATATAATTAATTAATTAACACAGGTAAAAACCGTTTTAGCTTGTTATTACTTGTAAAACAATATTCGACAGGTTGTAAACAATAATTCTCTCATAAACAAAACATGTTTTTTTCTTTTTTTCCTTTTCTCCCCCCACTCCCCACACCTCCCGCCCCTTCCCCCTCCGCCTTCTTAATAAAAACGAAATTTGAAAAAAAAAAAACAAAACAATTTATTTAAATTATAATTATTTATTTATTTATTTTAAAACAAATAAATACAACAAGCATATTTGTTAGATTTTACATATAACGATTATTTTATATTTCTTTATTCATCGAAACGTTTTACATAAATTCTTCCATAATAAAATAATAATAATAATTATTATTAAAGTAATAAATTGATTTGTGCACGAAAACAATAATAATAATAATAATATAAAACAATAATAAATTAATAATAAAAGCACCAAAGTATATTATTATAAGTATTCAAGTATCACAACGTTTACATAAAAATAAATTTATTAATAATAATGATAATAATGATCAACTCGTACGTATATGATAAATATATTTAAAGAAATATAAGCATTTAACGATTACTCTTGTTATTAATAATAATAATAATATTTAATAATGATCATGGCACGCAAATAGAGAAAGAAAAAATGAAAAAGAGAGAGAGAGCGAATGAAAAATACTTTTTTAAATATTAGTAAATATTAGTAAATATATAAAAAATAATAATAAATGGTAACGACGTGATAATAATAACAATAATACTATATAAAAAAAAAAAAATCTACTTCTTCTTCGTTTGGTAATATTTGGTACGCCATTGTTTGGTGATAACCTCTTTCGAATTAACAGGATAACTCCATTTTAATTTTTTTTTCTTTTTCTTAAAGATAAATGCACATAACAACAAAATCAATAATATCAATATTATTAAGGTGAAGAAGGGGGAGGGTAAGGGAGGGGAGGGGGGAAACGTTGTCGTAAGATGGGGTTAAAGTTCAGCTTCTTCTTAATAATGATAAAACTAATTGATCGGATTTCAAAGGCACCCAAATTAATCGTCTTTATCTTTGTGAAATTCCGGCATCAGGTCGAACCATTCCGTTGTCGTTTCGCTCAGGTTTAATTCATTCAAGTTAATCAATACCTGAAAAATCAAATTTTAAATCCAATGTCACGTGGCGCGAAGTTTTTTCTTTAAGGTTTATGTAACGATTTTGGTACTCACTTGACCCATGCAATTGCTGGAAGATGAAAATAACTTCTTTCTGGTGGCAACCGAGACTTCGAGTTGCCTGTTGCTGAGTTCACCGGGTGATATTATGTATTCAAATTGTTGTTCGTAAACGGGATTGCAATTGTCTTTGATGGCTTCCGTTTTTCTCTTAGAATCTTTGTTTCTTTCCGGTAACAAATACAGTTTCACGTAAGGATCCGGAATGTTCGTCGGATCGTTCATTGGTAAACCCCTGTAAAAAAAAAAAAAATCATTTCCGGTGATTTTGCCGCCCGATTTTTCAATCGACTCAAAAAATGTTTTCGAGAACTTACGATATCCTGTGAACGGTTACGTCGAACCTCTGTCGACTCATGCTGTAGCTCATCGTCAATAATATTTTACCAAGACCGTGTTCTCCCTTTTCAGACACATTCGATATACCTGATCTATTCGATCTTACGCTGTCGGTTCTCGAGGGGAAATTTTTAGACGACGATCCCGTCACGATGAAATCTCCTTCGGATTCTAATAAATCCGAACTGTTCGAACCGACCGGAAGTGGATCGCTCGGCATAATCATTTCGTCGGATTTGTTTGATTTTATCGAACCTTGTCTTTTCTTAATCGAATCTTGTTTTTTCAGGTACGAATCGACGGAAGAACTTTCGTTCGGTGACGAAGATTCCATTTCTTCGCCTTCGACTCCGGTACTCTCATCGAAGGATGGTTCTTTTTTCAAAGGAAGTTGAAACTTCAAAATCTAGTAATAAAAAAAAAAAAAACGGAAAATTAATTTTTTTTTTTTTTTTTAGAGATAATCTTTTACGAAGAGCCCCCCTCCCCCACAAAAATCCTTTTTTTTTTTTTTTTTTTTTAAAAAATTTTACCTTTAAATGCATGCTGAGAAATATTTTGGTTTCTCCTCCGCTTTTTTTCAAATGAAACGGTTGATGATCGACTTTCAATTTGGGTTTTTCCAAAAGTTGACTTAAATTGTAAACCAATTCTCCGATTTCTTTTCCCGTTTTGTTATCCGTCACTTTAAGGTGCATCGTATCAACTTCCGGATTGTGAACTAAAAATGTAAAACCTGAAAAAAAAAATTTACTCATATTAAAATCTCCGTTAGATTTACTTAATCAAAACAGAAAAAAAAAAAAAATGATTTACCCTGTTCGAAAACCGGATTATCCGTCCTCCATTGAGCTTTTGTACTTTTTGTACTCTTGCACAGAGTTATGGTCACGTAGGGATCCGGTTTCGATTGAATTCTTGCATTTGGTAAATTTTTAACGGAATCGACGAATATCGTGAGTAGTGCGGAACTCATTGAAGTCACTCTTAGGGTTTGAGTTTCTGCCAAAGCCTAAATTTTTTTTTTTTTTTTAAATTACTCTCTACGCTTATAACTTTTTCTTTTATTTTTAAACTCACTTCTTTTAAATCTTCGATATTTGATGACAATTTGAACCACGTCATTCTCAAATGAACGATACCATGTTTGGCTTGTTCTAATGTTATCCAAGTATCAAGATGCCCCCTTTTGGCAACGCGATTGATTTCCAACGTGGCTCTACGTAAACAAAATAAATAAATTAAATTAATTTTTGCCCGATTTAAAAAAAACTAATTAAAAATTTTTTTTTTATACAGAATTTTTAAATTTTTAAAAGCTGAAAAAATCGTTAAGAGAGCTAGCTCAAGCTGTACTCGAAACACAGGTAAGATATAATAATTATTATATTATTAAATAAATATATATGTAAAATATCAATAAAAAAAAAAAAAAGAAAAAAAAGCAAAAAGCAAACCACGTACAAACCTTCCCAAATTTTCATCTTTTCCTGTATTATCGTGATCTCGTAGAATGACATCAATTTTTTGCCCATTTATATCCTCCACCTTGAACTAAATATATATAAAAAAAAAAATTTTTATAAAGCGCGAGAAAAATGGTTAAAGAAGTAAGCGATGTGGCGTAAAAAAAAAAAAAATCATTTGCTATTAATCAAAACAAAACGAAAAAAAATCATGTTAAGATAAATAATGAATACGAATTCACATTTTGCATAAATGATGGAGAATTTCTATCATTTCAAATTGGACAAAGTCACAAAATTTCAGACGAATAATCCCATATTTAAAAAATTTTTATTAACTGCACACAAATCAATAAACATTTTGTTAAAAGAAAAACTTTTTCAAGCAAAACTATTCAGTGAATGAAATTTTTTGCCCCCCATTTTTTTTTTTTTAAAATTGTGAGAATGAAAACAAAACGTGACGTAACTTTGACGTAACAAAAAAAAAATTCAAATTATGAAAACTTTATATATATATATATAAATAGTTTTATTCTTTTTTTGTAAAAAAAATTCACCTTCCTAGAAAATCATCGGATTGAACCCCGGCAAACCCATCGTAATCCCAAACAAAGATTCCCAATTCTTGACCTTTCTTTGTGACAACAACAGCCTGTATGACAAATCATAGTAAATAAAAAATCAAAATTTACATGTTCGTATTTATAATTGACGAATTAAATCATTTCCCGATCACCATTTCATGCTGCTATGCAGTATAGTATATATATTAAAAAAAAAAGAAATGCATTGGTGTTAGTGTATAATAGTAAGAAAACGAGATATCGAAATGATTTTTTATTTTTTAACGGCCGTTACGATGCGAAATAATGGTAAAGTCGATAATAGATAAATTAAAGAATGTTTCGAGCACGGATGTAATTAATACGTGCATATTATTATCCTGACTGTTTTTTTTTCTCCTTTTTACCTTCCCAAATTAGAATCTTTACTTGATAAGTCGTCGCGATCTTTCAAAACAATGGAAACCTGTTGACCGTGATCCGTAACAATGCACTAAAAATACATTATAAAAATCAAACTTAAACTTAAAAACAACGAGGGGGAGGGGAGGGGAGATTGTCCCACGATTCCGGATTTTCCTAATTTTTTACCTAAATTTTTAACATATTAATAATTTCAAATTATTTATTAACTGTGACTTTACACTGTCAAAAAAAAAAAAAAAAGAAAAGGGAATAAATTTTATTTACCTCGCACCAATAATCCCATTTGGGATTAACCGTATTATCAATTATTTTCGTTTTAAACGTTTGGGCACCAACAGTAATAATTGCATACGGGTCGGATTTTCCTTTACCAAGCATTCCGATATCTTTTTTCATTAAATCTTTTGCTTCGACAACGTGAACTCTCAGAACACCCTAAAAAAAAAGCAATTTAAAAAATTTTTTTGGCTTTGTCTGAGTAGAATCCGAAGAAAGAAAGAAGCAAAAATACAAACTTCCGGTTCTGGTAATTTTAAAGTGTTCGAAGGAACTTCATCCGATAATCTAATTGGTAATTTATTCGGAAGTACCATCATGTTGGCAACTTGTTCGACGATAATTCGCCTTAATAAATCGCTTAAACCTGGCATGTCTAACACGTCAGCAACTCCCACAAGGTTGAAGTCAATATTTGGATTGTTAAGGAAAAAAATTTGCAATCCTCCGACCATCGGCATTGTCGTAATCAATGGTTTCATAACGACTCGAACCATTCCGTGAATTTGAAAATCTTTTATGCCACCTATGAACACATAAGGAATATCTATCAGTAAAATCCGTAAACGGATACCATCGTAGGTGGATACAAGTGATTTTAACTACCGGTAACTCCAGCAAGAGAAAATGAAATGTCACAATCGCCAGCATAGAAAACATCCAAATCCATTAATATTTCATTTCTGGATACATTTTTATCATATACTTTTACACCTCCGATCCTGGGAGGCTGATGAATTGTAAAAAAAAAAAATTAATCATTACGTATAAATTTATTTAAAGTAATTATTGAACCTGAGAAACTTACAATGGAACCCAAAAGCATTTTTTGAAATTGAAAACCGTTAAGTTTATACGATGCCAAACTTTCAGCAACAGCTGGTTCGATTGTGTCTTTAATTAAATTTTTAGCATAATGATTTACATTTGGCCAAACCTGCCGAAGTATTTTATTTATCCATTCTGCTCGTTCCACATCGGGGAAAAATACCTAAAAAAATTAATTTCACGGATGTAATTAGGCAAATAAACAAAAAAAAAAAAAAAAAAACTCCTTCGATAAATCGTTATCATAATAGGAAACGCCTCTTTTTATCGATTTATTATCACAGACTATCTAAAAATAAACATGAGAGTAACCTAAAAATATTTTAAAAACTTATAAATAAGACATTTAAATATCACATCAAGCTAATGAGAGAAAACCTTTCCTGTTTAAAATGTGAAAAGGAAAAAATTTTCCTCCATGTTTCTAAAAGAAACCTTAATAGTTTTTAAAAAATGAAATATTTTAACAGCATCAACATTACACTTACCCATGAGGGCAAGTCATCAACTCGAGCCAAAATGACTTCTTTTTCATTACACATAGCAGCTGCTTTTGCGATTGTTCTTTTAAGTTCTTTTTCTTTTTTCCATTCATCTCGAATAACAGAAAAAATAACTGGACCAATTAACCAAGCAACACTAAATTGAAAATACCCAAGCAAATAAACAATGGCAACAGTTCCGACTTTTTTGGCAAACGAGCCAAGTACGTTCATAATAGAAACCCCTGAAAAAGAAAAACGAATAAAAAAAATGAAGAACCTTATTACATTTTTTTCACTTGTAAAATTTTGATTAAATATAAGGAAAAGTGTTAGTAACTCATATTAATACTAAAGTTTTTTAAATTCATTTATAATTTCATGATAAATATTAATAAAAACAGGAATAAGAAATAAAATTTGAAATAATCATGCATTGTTTCAAATCGTTAAGCCTTAACTATTTTAATTATTGAAAATTTGCTTCATGAACAAGTACTTGAAGCATTTTTATAAACAGAATAAATAGTAACTAACTTAATTAATGAGTAATTTTTATTTTTAAATATAATACCTGCAATTTTCTTTGAAGGTTTCGGATTCCCAAAATCTTCAGGTGCAATTTCTTTACTTTCTACAGTCATGTTCATTCGAATAATATTATTTAACTTTTCCAATGATGAAATTTGCTTTTAATTTATTAAAAATCTGTAAATAGTTAAAATTTTAATAAATTGGTTAAGTTAATTGTTATGCAATAAACAACTTTTTGTTGTTATATTCTAGTTGTTATAAAACATTGCCTTAGGTTTTAAAACCAAAAATTTTCAAAAATTTTATTTTAATCCACAAAAATACAATTAAAAATAGCCTCCTTAATCTTTATATCAAAAATCTTTGTGATTATTAATCATAAATAATTTGCTGTAGAATTTTATAAAAAAAATTAAAAATTACAAGGAAGAATCAGTTTTTTATTATAAATTTATTTTTAATAGAATTTCAAAAAAAAAAAAAAATTATTTATTTTTATAATTAGTTTCAATATGCTAAATGTGCCATATTTGGTTAATCCATGAAATATAATTACATATGCAGGAATTTTTTTTGCTAATAAAAATTAATTAATTAATTAATTTGAAAATTAATTTTTATTTTATGTTAAATAGATAGTCAACAATAACTGAAATTTAAATAATTATTCAAGTAACGTATTGAATTTGTCACTAATCCAAATCAAATTTATTAAGCAATCTTAGCAGCATTTGTTCATAATTTCCGTATCTATTTTTAAAAAAAAAAACAATGTAAAATAAGCAATTTTTATTATACTTACATTATTATTAATTTTAACAATGATTTTACTAATACTCGAGGTAAAGAATCGATTTATTGCGACTAAAAAATGAACAATATAGAAATGCTTTTGTAAAAATTAGCCAATTTAAAAACTGATGATTTATTTAAATTTATTTACAAAAAAAAAAAAAAAATGCAAGGCGGCAATTAACTTTCAAACTAAACTAAGAAATAAGTTATGAGTTTTAAGGTGCAAACCCGCACTCTTATCTAATGATAATTAGAACACATGAAACTTTCGCAAGACACTCTATTACAATGTAAACTTTAATGAGAAAAATATTTTCCTTTGTATATATTTTGGCTAAAAATTAAAATGTATAAAAAGAAAACAAAAAAAAATTAAAACAAAGGTAAACACTTGTAAATAAAAATAAAAATTAAAGTTTTTTGGCTTCCGAATTACTCATTGTATAATTTGAATTGAATATTTTTTCTTGATGGGCACAGCCCTCTTGAAATAAAACTTCCAAATTTGGCAACGTCCAAAATCGACGGTTAAATTTAAAATTTGGCATTCGAAAAGCCGTACAAAGAGAATTTTAATGAAGTTTTAATTTATAAATTAACAACCAATTATTCATACAAACAGGTACTACTTTGTTTTAAAATAATACAATAATTTAAATTATTAACTTACTTTATTTTTATTTCGATTTTAAGATAAAAACCTTTTAATCACCAAATAATTTGTTAAGCTTAGGCACTTTGGATGAATTGTATATGTAAGTTATTTAAAGTGTATTTTATTTAATTTTAATTTTATCCGATCGTAAAATCATTCTTAGTCATACTGCAAAGAAAACTAAAACTCATAATATTTTAAAAAACTTATTTATTTTTGTTTTCTAAATTCAATTAGTAATGTTTCTTTGAACAACAAGCTCTGAATTTCCCTTTTATAATTGAAACCCATTAATCATATTATTTTCTATTTGTGCAAACAGGTCTATTTAACCAACAAAAATGCACATACAGCATCTGAACTGTACCAGCCAACAAATCCTTTGTCACAAGGTATGTTGAGAAATAATTAAAATATACAAACCACAGCCACAGCCAAAGAAGCAAGAAAAAGGCTAAAATATATGGAAGTTTGGAAAGTGAAATGAATTGAAAATGATTCCGGCTATTCAGAGCATTAGATTCCACAATTACCAGAAAAAAAAGAAACCGTAAGTAATTTATGTTATTTCTTATGTTAATCTTATGATAATAATCTTATGTTAATTTAGATTATTTCTCATGTACATAAAATAAGACCTAAAAAAGCAAAGATATCAATATTAATTTTACATTATTTTTTAAATATACTAAATCAATTAAGATGCGTTACGCATTTTGCCTAAAACAAATAAATAAGGCGTTGATATAAAAATTAATAAACGCGTTAGCTAGTTACATAAAGTTAACATTTGAAATTTCATTTTTAACCGACAAATATAAAAATATCGAAACGTTTTTAAAATAAAAAAAAAATCCAAACTCGTCTTTTACTTAAAAAACGACAAATCAATAGCTTCTATAAATAATCAATAAAAAAATAAACAAGCAATTTAAAAGGAAGAATATTTAATATTAATAATAATTTTTTTTTTAAATTTAAATTTGTTTTAAAGAATTATTTTTTTCTCAAACTAAGCATCGAAATATTACGTATATTTTATTAAAGGGTGTGTAATTAATAATTTCACCCTTTTTTCATTCCCTCCCCTCCCCCGCCTAATTAAATTACATAAATTTAAATCGAATAATATTCTTTTGTTCGATCGAAAAATTTTTTTCATAAAAAAAAAAAATTAATTGAATTAAATTTATTGCTCGTTAATCATTATTATAAAAAAGATTAGAATTTTTTTATGAAAAGACAAAAAAAAAAAAAATTAATCATCGTACAATTATTCGTAATAATAATAATAATAATAATAATAATAAATTATAACATTGAATAATGATAATTTTTTTTCAACGATTAAATTTCGCATTTATTACGTTTAATACCGGTGACCTTTTGAACTTTTATTTTATTTTCGTAATGAAAAATAATTTTTGTTTACGCGACAATTAATAATAATAATAATTATTTATTTATTTTGTCGTCAATTTACAAAACGTCATATTTTATCGATCATTTAAAAATTTAAATTTTCCGCCCCCTACCCCCATTCAATTTATTATTAAATTAAAGAGCTTTTTGTTTTATTACCTTTAATTTAACATACATAAAGTAATGTAGTATTAAATGCTTAAATAAAATAATTTAAATTATATCGCGATAGGATAAAAAAAAAAAAAAAATTATGTACATAAACATAATCAGCGGATTTATTTATAATTAAATAATTTATTTTATTTATGATTGAAAAAGGAAAAGCATTGATGGACTTTAAGCGCGTGACCTGGTTATCAATATTATCTCGTGGGTCGTCAATTGTAAATTTTACCCTTTTCATTATTATTATTATTTTTTGCTATTACGCCAAAAAAAAAAATTTAAATTTTTTTTTATAATAATAATAATAATAATAACGATTATTAAAATTTTTCCTATTTTTTTTTTTCAATAAAATGTAATTTATAAAATAATGATAAAATTTTCATTTTTAAAGGATTCTTTTTTAAACAAGATATATATTTTCCAAAGTCGAGATTTTCGTTCTCCCGTTCCAGATACACACGCACACGCACACGCACACCCACACATGACAATTTAATCTACTTAATAAATATAGGAAAAAGTTTTTCACGTTTTAATGAAAATCTCATAAATTTTCTTAAAAGTCGCTTTTCTTTTGCATGTTAGAAAACGTCACAGTTTTTGCATTTCCATATCATTATTATTATTACCGCTTTTTAATGCGAAATTTTTCCAATACTTGGTGGAGTTTTTAAACATTTATTCCAGGTCCCCTCTACACGATTCCTTCGAATTTTTTCGATGCTATTTATAATATTTTCCAAAGAGTGTGACCCCCATGTTATATCCCATTTAACGCAGAGGCACACATTTGTTTTTTTTTTTTAAGTGCTAATTGGGTTTTAGAATTATGTACTTATTAATATTATTAATATTGTAATGTAATTGATATTTAAAAGCCACTAAACATAGTATAAATAATATTTTAATACGTGAAAAAAAGTACTTAAGTAATAATTATTAGTGTCAAATGATTCAAAAATTTGAATTTTTTGTACCCCCCCCAAAAAAAAAAAAATATAACGAAAACAAAACTATTAATAAAATTATTATTATTTTTTTTCTAAGTTCGAATAAAAGTAATAATATAAATTTTTTGTTGTAGTTGTTGTTGTTGTTGTTTCTGTTGCTGTTGTCATAAGATTCACGTAATCATTTGCAAAGTAATCAAAATTTTTGCTTGTTAAGGATTAATCGTTTGTATAAAAAGTGAAAATTTCCTTCATGTCGACACTCCACAAGTGGATGCAAAGAGGTAAACATGTGGACCCCATTTGCACTATTCGTGATATTAGCGGCTGTCGCCTCAGCCGACTACGGTAAGTCTTATTTTAATTTTTTTATAAAATTAAAATAAAAAAAAATGTTTTTTTTTTTTTTTCAAATTTCAAAAAAAAAAAAAAAAAACAAAAAAAAAATATTATAATTTTAAAACGATATAATATTATACACGCAGGTTTCAAACCCGGAAAGGAATATCATTATGAGGTTACAAGTACAACTTTGACCTCCCTTCACCAAGTTGCTGATCGTTACGCTGGAGTTTCTATGCGTAACAAATTGACTCTTACACCCGTAAAAGAAGATGAATATTTAGGTACTTTCACACAATCAGAGGTTACTGAAGTTCACACCACTTTACCAGGAGGTGTTGACCACAGTGTACCTCTTGAAAATGCCAAGTACTCACCAATTAGTCTCCCACGTGAACCGTTCGTCGTTAAAACGAAGGATGGAATCGTGAGTTTTTTTTCTTTTTTTCAATAAAAAAAAAAAAAAAAATAGGAATAATACTTGTGAAGATAACTAATTGATTTATTTTAAAATATTTCACTTAGGTTGATGAATTGGTCGTCAGCAAAGATTTGCCTGTTTGGCATGTAAATGTCATCCGTTCCATTGTGAGTCAATTCCAAATTGACACTCAAGGAAGACGACTTATTCCCTCAAAACTTAACTCAGTTCCCCACGGAGACGAAACCACAGCTGTTTACAAGGTTATGGAAGACACCGTCGAAGGAGAATGTGAAACTTTGTACGATGTTACACCTTTGCCAAAATACGTTGTTTTAACCACTCCAAGCCTTGCCCCAACTTACCATGTTGGAGACAAAGAAGATTTGATCGACATTGTCAAAACAGCCAACTTCAGCAACTGTGAACAAAGACCAGGATACCACTTTGGACTTACTGGTTTGACTGACTGGAAACCAACCACCAACAAATTAGGAAACTTCTTGTCACGCTCCTCAGTTACCAGAGTCGTCCTTTCTGGAAACCTTAAAACTTACACTGTTCACTCCTCAGTAACCACTAGCAAAGTTATTGTCAGCCCTGAAGTTTACAACAACCAAAAGGGAGAAGTTATTTCCCGCGTAAATGTCACCCTTGTTTCTGTCGGAACTGGAACTTCCACCGGATCCGGACCCGCTAACCCTCAAACCTTGAAAAAGTTGGTTTACGACTTTAACGGTCCTTTTTCAACTGACGCTCAAGTTCGTGAAAAATGGGACCAAAGACAAGAACAAACTCTTGTTAAACCCACCGGATACACCGAAGGCGGTTTTACTGAACAAGTTAGAAACACAAGACACATTGACGAAAAAACTTTGGTTCTTTCCAACGAAGGATGGTACCAAACCAAACCAAAAATGAACCAAGCTCCAGAAACACCTTTCCTTCCATACTTTGTTGGATACATGGGTCACTCCATCCAACACTCCAAGGATATCAACGTCAACCAAGTCGTAAGAAAAATGGCCGAACAAATTGGACAAACCTTGCAAGATCAAACTCACTTAACCAAGGACAATACTCTTGAAAGATTCACCATTTTGACTGAAGTTGTTCGTACCATGAACGCCAAACAACTTGAACAATCCGTTCAAGAACTTTACACTCCAGCTGAAGAACACCCCAAAGAAGTCGCCGGAACACCCAGAAACGCATGGATGGTCTTCCGTGATGTTTTGGCTCAAGCCGGAACTGGCCCCGCTTTGACCACTATTGTTTCCTTGATCACCTCCAAAAAACTTAAAGGAGAAGAAGCTGCCCAAGTTGTATCCACTCTTGCCGATACTGCCAGATACCCAACCACTGAATACTTAAACACATTCTTTGTAAGTTATTTAAAGCTACTCCTTCATCTTTTACTAATTGTTAATTCTAATTATTAAATTATGTTGTTTAATTTCATAGGAATTGGTTAAACATCCCGAAGTAGTTTCTCAACCAATTTTGAGAACCACCAGTGTTTACACTTTCACCAAATTGGTCAGATACGCTTTGGTAAACCCCAAAACCGTTCACAACCGTTACCCAGTTCACACCTTTGGATACCTCACCCGCCTTGATGACACCACCGTCACCGACACTTACGTACCATACTTGGCCCAACAATTGGAACAAGCTGTCAAAGAAGGAGACTCTACCAAAGTACAAACTTACGTCGTTGGTTTAGGAAATGTTGCCCACCCCAAAATCCTTCAAGTATTCGAACCTTACTTGGAAGGCAAACAACCAATGAGTGACTTCCAACGTACTCTTGTAGTCACCTCTTTAGGAAAATTGGCTGAAGTTCACCCCAAAGTTGCCAGAACTGTATTGTACAAGGTTTACACCAACACCGGAGAAGTTCACCAAGTTCGTGTAGCTGCCGTTTACAATTTGATGAAGACTGTCCCACCAGTTAGCATGCTCCAACGTATGGCTCAATTCACTCACGAAGACCCCAGCACTCAAGTCCGTTCAGCTGTCAAATCCGCCATTGAATCTGCTGCCCTCTTGAAAACCAAGACCAACTTTCAATTGTAAGTGTAAATTTCACATCAAATGTAATCGATGATAACGTCTTTAAATTTAGTAATATTTTTCATAAATCTAATTAATGCTTATTAATTAAATTTTAAGGCGTAAAAATGCTCAAGCCGCCGTCAACATGTTAGTCCCTCAAGTTTACGGAGTACAATACTCTCGTTTGAACTTGACTGACTACTTGGTTCAAGGTCTTCACCTTGGTTACACTCAAACTTTGCAATACGTCGGAAGCAAAGACAGCCTTATCCCAAGCTCTGTATTCTACAAAGTTTTAGGAAACGTTAACACTTACAAAACCACTTTACTTAAGGTAAAGCAAACACGCATATTTACTTAAAAAATTTTTTAAATCTTAAACTTTTTAAATGCGTAACTTATTTTAATTTGTTTGTAATATTTACAGGTCAGCTCTATGGTATCCAGTGTACAAGCCGTAACTGAATTCCTTCAAAACAGCTTCACTTTGGAAGAACAAGAACCAACTCCTGAAGGTCATGGCGATGCTTACACCGTTGAAAAAATCACCAAATTGTTGAATGTCGAACAACTCGTTAAAGAACAAGTTGAAGGAAACTTTAACTACAGAGTAGGAAACCTTCACAGATTCTTCGTTTACGACAACCACACCATTGAAACTTTGACTCAAACCCTTAACAAATACACTCAAAAGACCGGCCAAGGTTTGGCTTACAACACCCAAAAATTTTTTACCAACTACGAAATCACTCTTGCCTTGCCAACTACTACTGGAGTCCCATTGGTATACACCTTGTCCACTCCCGTATACATTGGTATTAAAGGAAAAGTTCAAACTGACGTTCCAGAACTCCGTCAAACTCAAAAGGGATACCAAGTTCCAAAGACTCTTGGTGTCACCACTAACGTTGAAGTAACCGTTTCCACCAACACTCACGGACAAATCAGTTTCATTGTCCCATGCGAACACAAACGCTTCGTCTCTGGTTACAAAAAGGTAGTCCACGTTAACGTTCCACTTAAAGGTAGCGTTACCGTTGATTTACCAAAACGCAACGTAAAAGTCGAAGTTAAACCCGTTGAAAAACGTGGAGACTACAAATTGTTCCATTACAGCACTGTACCTTACACCGCTGTCCAAAACATTCTTGACTTGAAACCAGTTAGCGAATCACCTTCTTTCACTGTTTTGAACACCAAACCTCTTACCGTTAAAACTAACACCTTTGGCGTCAAAACTTTAGGAACTGTTTTCCGTACTGAAATCAAAACCGGAAAGAGAAACGTTGACTTTAAAAAATTGATCCACGAAGTTGTTCAACGTCACACCTTGGTCTCAGGAGTTGTATTCCCAACTGCTGAAGCCACCATTGACAACACCAACGTTGATGTATACTACGACTCTAAATTGTCAACCGTACAAAGCTTAGTTCTTTCAGCTACCTACCGTCAAGTAACACCAACTGAAATCAAACACGAAACCGACACCGGAAAAGTTTTTGTTCCTACCTCAGACGTACAAACTAGAATTAAACAATTTTACGAAAAAGTTACAACTGGAGTTAAAGGTGCAAGAGCTCAAGTATGTGACTTCGTATTGAACGTTAACGCACAAACCCCAGTAGAATTGGTTGGAACCTTTGCTTTGGCTAGAAGCCCAGTTGATGCTCCAGTCAATCTTATTGGTTACTTCTACAAAACCGCTGGAAACGACCACTACGAAATCTGCTACGATTCTACTTTCAAAAGTACTTACTCACCCATCTACGACTTGGAACACGCCATTCAAAGCGAATCTAAATCAGACTTGAACGTTCACGTCAAATTTGGAAACAAATGCGACACTGGAGCTAAAGTCGTACTCACTGGAAAACTTGAAAGAACTCCAGAACGTCAACAATACGTTCAAACTTTACCCCAAGTACAAACCTGCAAAACTGAAGTTCAACAAGGAAACAAATACACCGCTAACTGCAGAAACGCTACCTTACAAGCTGGCCTTTTCGACAAATACACTTTCAACATTAAATACGAAGGAGTACCAGAAGAATTGAAGAACTACACTTACAGAGTTGTCAACATTTACACTCACTTGGCATACCCATACCTTACCGAAGGTATGCCAACCCAAGCTGCTCAACAAAGCAAAGAAGTCGAATTCGATGTTAACTTCACTCCCGATTTGAAGAACGTTAACCTCTACCTTTCGACTCCAGTTGGAGTTTCTACATTCCACTCAGTCCCTGTTGGTGAATACACCAGAACCTTGCTTGTCAGTCACCCTGTTTTCAACTACGTTGAAAGATACCAATGGTCTGCTTTCCAACAACAATACAAAGGTGAGAATTTATTTGCATTAAACCAAAAAAATTACTCCCTAAAGTGATGAGTAATCTTTTCTACATGATAAAATTTTCACTTAAATTTTTACAGCCTACTGTACCATTGACAAGGCTCAAACCAAGACCTTCGACAACCAAACCTACAATACTCACTTAGGAAACGCTTGGCACGTAATGTCCGTATCCGTACCAAAAACAAACCGCGAAGGCAAACACGAATCAGTCCGCGATTTCTCAGTCTTGGTACGCGAAGTTGAAAACAACCAAAAAGAAGTTCAATTTACTTTCAACTACGCCAAGGGACCCGTCGTCAACGTTCTTCCCCAACCCCAAGGCAAAGCTCACGGAACTTTCACCGTTAACGGACAAACCGTTCAAGTAGACGAACAAGGATACTACGAATACAGAAACCCAGCCGGAAAATTGGTATTCCAAGTTTACGTTCTTCCAACCGGAGAACTTCAATTTGTCTCAACCAAATACGGATTCAACTTCTTGTACGACGCTCAAAGAGTTCAACTTGCTTTGAGTCAATCATACAGAAACCGCGTAGGAGGTCTTTGCGGAGTTTACAACGGTGAACACTACGGTTACGTAACCCCACAAGGATACATCCTCAACTCTCCCGAAGAATTTGTTGCCACTTGGGCCGTCACAACCGAAGGACACGTTGCCGAATTGAAGAAAAAAGCACAAGAACACTCAGTTTACAAGAAAACCGTTCTTTACACTAACGTCGTATCAACCCCAGACAGCAGATACCACGAATACGGAGACAGCCAAGAAGAATCCGGAGAAACGACCGATGGACACAACACAAAATGCACCACCAAACGTATCATGGTCATCGAAAGAGACGGCAAACACTGCTTTTCCGTTCACCCACAAACCGCTTGCAAACCAGGTTGCCAAGTTGAAAAAACCAAAACCATGAACGCCGAATTCATTTGTGTTAACAAAACTCAAACCTCATCTCACTGGGCTCAAATGGTTGCTCGTGGAGCTCAACCCAACTTTAAAAACAAAGCCAACGCACAAAAAATGCAATTTGAAGGCCCCGAAGTCTGTACCGACGCTTGAATTGTATAAAATGTTTTGTTTTTTTTTTTTTTCCCCTTTTAACAATATGATACTAAACAATATATATATATAAATAAATAAAGATAAAATATTTTAATATTAAAAAAAAAACTGTTTTTTTTTTCTCTTTTCTCTCCCCCCCCCCCCCCGCCTCCCCCCTTTCAAACGCTACTACAAAAACTTTCAACAAAACAAAAGAAACAAAAGAAAGGTAAAATCGATTTTTATTAATTAAAAAAAAATTTTAATAAACATATACTTTGGCAAATTTAAAAAACTAGAGTGCGCCACCAATAATATATATATATAAACGTATAACAAAAAAAAAAAAAATTTCATTGTCTCGATTTAAAATATTTAAAAATTATTATTATTATTATTATTATCGTGTGAGCTAATACCTAATTATAATAATTAATTATCTCAAGTCGCGATCAATAGTAAAATTCAAGTAATTTAAAATAAAAATAAAAATAAAAAATAGTTAAAAAATAATAATAATAATAATAATAATAATAATTACTTTATTCTTTCAACGATTGACTCGACCAAGAACTTCGATTCGGCCATTTTTGAGTTTTTAAACTTTTCGCTATAACACGTTTCTGATGATCCAGTTGCGGAAACAAAGCTGTTAATAATAATAATAATAAAAAGATAATTAATTAGTGAAACAATCACAACAGAAAAAAGGAAGATGATGATGATGATGATGATGATGATGAATACTCACGTCCGGACACTTCCATTGCTTTTTGTGCTGCATTCATTTCCGCTTGTTGTATGCTGTGTCCGGTCGCTTTTGCCAAACGTTTGTTTCTAAAATAAACGGCGACCGTGTAGACCCTCGTGTTTGTCGGTCCCTTGCATTCTACGACCCTGTACGACAAAAATAATAAAACGTGTTAGCCAAACAACAACAACAACAACAACAACAATTTAAAAATGAAAAAAATCCATTTCCGTTACTTGTAAATGGGTATATCCGGTTCGACGTTGTCCATGGTTCTCAACGTGAGACAACATTGTTGCAATTTCGATTTCGGATCGTTCCAATCTTGATTCATTATGAAAATTTGTAGTCTCGGAAAGAAACAAACGTCGCAAAATACTCGGCAAATATCTAATCCCTGCGACAAAATAAAATTTTCCCATTTTGCTTTTTCCGTCATTTTCCCCCCCATTTCTCGATGAAAATTTGAATTTAATAGGGTGAACTTACGTTGTCGACGTACAAAGCTCCCAAAAAAGCTTCCAAAAGATCCGCTCGATCTTTGACTTTCAATTCGACTTTTGGATTCGCATAAACCGCATACTGAGTCATACCCAAATCGTCGCAAACGACTGATTGTGTCTTGTTATTGACCAGAGAACTTCTCAAAAGCTACAAAAAAAAAAAAAAATTTTCTTTTACTTTTACTCAAAAAAGGAAAAACGAAAAAATGTTTTTTTTTTTTTTTTTTCAAATCTCACCGATAGATGACCCTCGTGATGCTCCGGAAAATATTTATACAAATATTCTGATGCTATTAATTGAAGTACGGAATCCCCTAAAAATTCCAATCTTTGATTCGAACCACTGTCGACAAAAAAAAAATTTTTTTCTTCTATATAGCTAACGAAACGTGAAATTAAAAGGGGGGAGGGGGGGAATGTTTAACTTACAGCGTCAAATTCGTGTATCCGACGCTACGATCCGTGAATGCTCTTGCAAGTAATCTTATGTGTTTGAATTCTATACCAGTCGCTTCTTCGAATTTTGTTAAATTCTATCGAAAAAGAAAAAAAAATTTAAATTTTAAGGGAAACGAGACGCCATTTCGACAGCCATGTTTTCTTTCCTTACTTGTAAAAGTGGGAAATGCGATATCCATTTTCTATCTCCCAAAGGCTCCTGCTCTTGGAGAGGATGTGGCGGATAATTAAACCAAACGTCTGAACAATCTTCGTCGTCGCCGTAGAGAGTCATTCCAAAAACTTTGTCTGCAGACTAACCCGTTAACATAAATAGTTACAATAGTTTTCAAATCAATAGATCGCGTCGGTTGAAAAAAGTCCAAAAAAAAAAAAAAAAAAAAAAAAAAAAGGTTAAAGGTTACCTCGATTCCACCGTCCAAGAACAAAGCCCCCATTAATGCTTCGAAACAATTCGCCATGGCGTGTTTCAATTCGAGATCGTGACATAAATCAGATCCGTGAGCGTACAACATGAATTCGTCTAAATTTAATTTCTGATTTCCAATTCATTAGAGAGAGAGAGAGAGAAACAGTTAACATTACAAAATTTTGATTCCCCTTTTTGAGCACTTTTTTCTTTATTTACCTTTGCGAGGACAGAAAGGTGTTGATTTTGTACCAAAGCAGCACGATAGGTAGCCAAACCACCTTCTTCTAAATCTCTGAATATGTGAAACAAATGAATGGACGTTATGAATTCGACGACAGCATCACCCAAAAATTCCAGTCTCTCGTTATGGTATATATTTGACTGTGTTTCGTTTTTCCTTCCGAATCTCGACATTATGCTGATAAGGGTATTGATACCTGATTATGAAACAAAAACAACACTTGAGTGCACGTGCAAGAGGAGAAATTAAAGGGCCAAAGGGGGTGGGAAACTCTCAAGTAGTAACCTCTTTTCCTAGTGTTCATGTAATGAATCCTTCTATCTCCATATTGAGGCTGTCGTATTCCGCAATTCGTTAAAGAATTTCGAGCGTGATCCGAATTCGTACCGAAATTTTCTCTGGAAAATTAAAAAATAATTTATGTTGACACCGTTTAAAAATAATTTTGAAAAAAAAAAAAAAAAACATTTTTTTATTTACCGGTAAGAGGGGTGAGTTAAAGCGAGTTGGAGCAAAAATTTATTTTTAAATTTATAATTGATTTTTTCTTCTAAAACGACGAGGGATCTATGAAATCTCAAATGGCATACGAGAACAGGTATGAGCATGGCATGTTGAACGACGTCACACATTAAACCGGTTTGGTAAAAACCTTTGCTGGACACCGTAACGGTAACATCTCGTTTCATTTTACTATGAGCTCTCATTGAATGAAGACTATTTTCTTTGGCTGCTAATTTTTGTTTGTCTTCTGCTGTGGGTTTGGGCATGTTAGCAAGCAAATGACGAAATTTCACATATTTTCTCCAAGCTCTTTGATATCTGAAAAAATCATATTTCCATAAATTTGAAATTCTACATTTTTGTTTCGTTTTTGATGATCTTACTCTGGATTTCCGGCGTAACTCAATTGCGGTGGCCTGATTCCGAAATGTACTATTTCCGGATAATAATAATTTTCCACTTCGGCGTTTTCCGATAAATCATTATCGCATTGCGAATCCACGTATCCGTCAGCAGACGATGCTGCCGTTGATAGAGGACTTTCGCATCTGTATTTGTCCTGCTGTTCGGAATCGTTTTCCCTTCTGCTCCGTTCCCGAGAACTGCTCCTGTAATGATTATCCCTACTCGAACAACTTTTAGCATTTTCTTTTTTCTTAACGCTTTCATCGGTGTCTCGATCCAATTGATCCACTCTCAGAGAACAAGGTTTCATACCTGGATTGGTTACCACCATTCCTTTTCATTTCAAAAAAAGGAAATTGATTAGTTAAAAAAAAAAACAAAGGTCTACTAAACGCGAAAAATTACCTTTGACTAAATCCGCAAAATCTTGCCATTCGCTACTCGTCATTTTGTGTAAGCTATCGAGGGTACCATCTTCGATGAGTTTTTTATTACTACTCAACAAGTACTTTAATACTTCGCACATGGGAAGGAGTTCTCTACCATTGTCGGGTAATTCTCTAACGAATCTCGGCATGAAATGAAACTGAGGACAATTTTCCGGATGTGAAGAATTTTTCAAATCGAAATCTACCAATTCTAAAATTTCTTTAAACACGTATTCATCTATAAAAATCAAAATATAAACTTTATTGTACAAAATCGTATAAAAAAAGCAAGTTTTTTAATTTTATTTTAATAAGAAAAATCTTACAAAACAAATCGAGTTCTAAAATTGAAAAATTTTCCGGTAACTTTTCCTCGACGTATAATATTATGTACTCAATGTTGAAGCGTATTACTTTGCACGTGGGCAATTTTTGAATGGGATAATGAGATATTAAAGAAAAACCTTCAAATATAAATTCGTGGTCATCGTAATTAATTATGGTCGGAGTTCTTGTCTGGAAATGAAAAGAAAAACAAAAAAAATTATGACGAGTAAGAAAATTTTCAAGTGATAAAGAAGAAACAAATGATTACGAGAAAATTCGTAGGAGGTGATATGGTTATCCTGTAACAATAAAGATTTCCAGCATTGTTTGATTTGACGTCGCAACAGATTTTTTGATTTTCTCCAGCATAAAATCCGTGTCTTATACCAGATCTTCTTGCTTTGGCACTACATCTGCAAAGTGGTCCATCGTTCATCTGAAAATATACAAAACAAAAATTATAACCGATTCGATTAAATAATAATTTCTTAAAAAATTTTATTTATTATGATTCACCTCTCCTGGATCGTTATACCACAGCTCCGAATGTAACCTGTAAGGATGTTTTTGCTTTCTTTGAAGTTCTTCCATCATATCGTTGACATCGTCAGATTCATCTGAATTTTCACTTTCAGAATCGTCACTCGAAGAACAAATTTGACCTAAAACAAAACAAAAAATTAAAATATTTTACTCTACTTACTTTGTATTATTAAATATCTGGCAAAAAAAAAAAATTACTTTTATGTTTGCATAATTTTTGTTTTGGTTTTATAGGTGCTGGACATTTTAGTGTTTGACCATCGCGTATACGTTTTCCTCTATCAACAAGTTCGTATTTAAATCTTTCACACAATTCGTCCAGTTTAGGTGTTGGCTTCATTCTTCTTAAATCGCTAAAAAATATTTATTATTTAAAAAAATGGCAAAAAAATACCCATGGGATTAATTTCAAGGGATATTTACTTGGGATCTCTTTCGTAATAACAATAAGCGGGTGCACTCCTTATCCAAACTTTGTTTTCTTCTTCCAGTATTTCTTCCGGATTCATTTGTGATATTTCCTGAAGACGTTTTTGCATTTCATCTTGATTTTCACAATAATTCATTCGCCATCTTTTAATTAGTTTTTGCCTATAACTATCTGATTTTAATACGAAACTATTATTGCTTTCTCTCTTATCGAAATACGTTTCTCTTCTTTTGTAAGTACGGTAAGATGGCGGTGATCTGGATTTATAATGTCGACGATTTCTGGATCGCGATCTACTATGGTAAAATTTATTTTTATAATTTGAATAACTGTCTTTGCTTAGACTTCTCGAACGACTTCTACTTCCGTGATGGCTCCTAGAATAAGATCTACTTCTACTCGAAGATTTACTTCTGTACCTGTTTCTTTTTTTACGTGACCTTGAACGTGATCTACTTCTAGAACTTATTCTCCTTTTACGATTTCTAGAGTAAGAACGACTTCTTGAACGAGATCTATTCCTACTGTGCCTTGATGAATATGATTTTTTATTGTAATACTCTTTCGAATTCTTATATTTGAACTCTTCATCTTCATATTTATTCCTTGAGCCATAATTTCTCATGTTATTTTTACTAGTCCTTTCTTGATATTCTTTTTTATGAGCGTTTCCATTATTGTTCGAAGGCAAATAATTTTCTGAATTAAAATTTGACTTTTCGTTATCACAATTTTGTTTATAATTCACAGAAGTATTACAAGTTGCTGGGGTTAAAAGTACTTGATAGTTAGGTACATTTGGAAAAGGAAAATTGGAAACATTATTACTAATGATTTCTCCATTAGAATTATAATGACAATTTGGCATCGAATTTGGTAAAATATTTCCATTTATATTTGGTATCGCTTGATAATTATCCCCGTTTCTTCCGACCATAGAATAATTTAAAAATACTGGCTGAGGCGGAATTAAACAAAGTTGATTTTGGTCTATCACATTGTAATTATTCAAAATGTTGGGATTATAAAATTTGTTTTTATTTTCTTCAGACGAGTGAAGTACAGGAGGAAAATTTCCACATTCTGGAAACATATATTGATTTTTATAGCCATTTGATGAAGCAAACTGATTACTGTAAGAATTTGATGGCGGCATACAATTTGTAGGAATATTATTAACCAAAACATTTGAATAATAATTACAGTTAGTACTTTCTTTTGGAAAATAATCGCATGATTGCTTTGAATTTATGTTAACATCAGATTTTCCATTAAATTTATTAAAACTGGAAGGATGATTAAGAGTTGAATATTGATTTGATTCATTTTTCTCGAATGATTTTTTCGATTGATTATCATTTAAATTTGACATGTTTGACATGTTTATTTTCTATAATTATTGACTTAATTTTACTATTTTCTTCTGTAAATTCATTACATTATAATAAGCTCCTGTTTTTCGCATAGATACTTGATTCAATTTTATGCTAAAATTGTGACGAACAAACAAATAAATATTTAAAGGTTATGGTCATTATTATTTTGGCTTGTTATCTCTTGTGAATTCATACCTGAAATGCAAAATTTTAATTTATTTATTGTGTCAAATTAATTTTTTAATAATTAACAATACATCAACTGATAAATTCATTTAAATTTTGTATTTAAATAAAAATAACTCATGTGTTTTTTTTTTTTTTTGATATGATTGGTGATTTTTAACTTACTTGCGAGCCAAAATCACATAAAACTACATTTAAAAAAATAGAAATTTTGTCGAAAGACACTAAAATACAATTTAATAATTAAAAATTTTTTTGATATTCAAAATTTAAGTTTAATGTTCAAGTACTTTTTTAAACAGTGATTTGTAGTACTGTAAATAATATAAATGCTCATATTTTCTTTCTCTATAATTATTAACTTATTGTAATTACGTTTAATTTTATTTTATAAAAATACATTATTTATTTAATTATTAATTTCACTAGAAATATACTTTATTAAAAAAAATATATATATATATATATAAGAATCCTGTTTACAAGTATTTACTCAATAGTTTCAATTTCGGTTTTAATCCTTCGCGGAAAAAGCTCTAGGCATTTTAGAGCAAAAAGAAAAGAAAATGGCGGAATTCAAATAACGAATTTTTCTTTTTGATGAATTTATTATTAAAGTTTTGAAATATTTTTTTTTTTGAAATTAATTTTAAGACAGAGAGAGAGAGAGAGAGGCAAAATTTTTATTTTATTTATTTAAAACGTATATTTATATTTTTTTTTAAATGACGTTACGAATGATAGAAAATTTAATGAACCGAAAAATATGCTGATGAATTAGTAACAAAAAAAAAAAAAAAGCGTTGCGGGAATTAAAACTTTGACCTAATCGGATGTAAATTCAACAGATTTATAAATAATTATTTATCTATTGATTTTTTTTTAAACAATAAAATTTAAAAACTAACAAACAATAAAATTTAAAACTAAGTAAGGTTAATATTTAAATCCATACGTACAACGTGCAATAATAAAAATGGATCCAAAATGTTGAATTTTTGTTCAACCCAAAAAAAGGAAAGAAAAAATTAAAAAAAAAGAAAAGAAAATCGTTAAAAATAACATAAAGTTTAAAAAAAAAACGTTTTTCGTTTCGGCTCATATAAAAAAAAATAATTATGACGTCATAAATAAAAATATAAAAAACTAACTATGCGGTGACATAATTAAATTTTTAGAAAGTAGAAAATAAAGTTTTTCTTTATTTACTTAAAAAAAAAAATTTTATTTGTTATTTTAAAGAAGAAGGAAGGAGGGAAGAAGGGGGGGGGCAAAAAAAATATAATCCAATTAAAAATTTTTACTTTTATTTAGTAACAAAATGTGGAAAATAATTTCACTTAAAACAAAATAAAATTAAATGTAATAGTTTCAAAAAATAATGTATTTTTCTTTTTTTTTTTTATTAAAAATGACAATATATATCTATCCTTTTTTCTCTTAAACTGAAGCCTTGTGTTTATTATATTTAACTTAAAAAATAAATAAATAAATAATTTATATTATAATTAAATGTCTTTTAAAATGTTGTAAAAAAAAAAAAAATTTTTAAGTTAGGAAGTTGCCATTCGTGCAATTTTAATTTTTTTTTTTTTTTCTTGTGGTTAAATAAATAAATTTAAATTTTTTAAAAATTTAATAATAGATAAATTTGAAAGTGATATCATAAGATTTTGCTTACTTAGCATATAAATTGCTATGCATTCATTTTTATACTATATAAGAAAAAGATAAGACCTTTTTCGCGTTATTCCACAGTGCGTTTTTAAGCGAATCATGTGGACTGCCGTTCTTTTTACTTTGCTCGTAGCAGGAGCTACGGCTGAGTATGGTAAGTTTTCATAACATTATATAACACCTCTTAATTGATTTGTCATAATTTGTTCTTCTTATAGATCTCTGGTAATCAAATTCCTTTTTTTTTTTTCCAGGATGGAAACCAAATTCAGAATACCGTTACGAAGTTACCACAAAAACTTTTGCTTCTTTGCATCAAATTTCCAATCAATACACTGGAGTGTTGTTAAACGCTCAATTGAAAGTTGTACCAAAAACTGATAGTCATTTGGTTGTTACATTAAATCAACCGAGATACTCTGAAGTTCACACAACTCTTCAACATGGTGTCGAAACTCAAATCCCAGAAGGTCAATTGCAATACAAACCTTTGACTTTCACCACTGAGCCATTTGAAGTGAAATTGAACAAGGGAGTCGTAAGTAATAAGTTTTGTCTTTGAAGATTTACAACGAAACCTTTTACAATTTTAATTCTATATATAAAAAATTTTTTCAAGTATAGGTAGAAGAATTGATTATTAGCAGAAGTGTTCCCGTTTGGGAAGTTAACGTCATTCGCTCCATTGTAAGTCAACTTCAAGTTGATACTCAAGGAGTTAAAGCCATTTCTTCTAAACTCAATTCTATTCCTACCGGAGATGAAAACACCGCCGTTTACAAAGTTATGGAAGACACGGTTGAAGGAGAATGTGAAGTTCTTTACGATATTACTCCTTTGCCTAAATACATTTTGCAAACCATGCCTCAACTTGCTCCTCAACCACAACTTGCTGGACAAGGTCAAATTATTGACGTCATGAAAAGCAGAAACTTTAGCAACTGCGAACACAGACCAGGATACCACTTTGGTCTCACCGGATTGACCGATTGGGAACCAACCGTTAATCAACTCGGTGATTTCTTGGCACGTTCCTCCGTGAGCCGTGTTATTATCTCTGGAAGTCTCAAAAGTTACACCATTCAATCTTCAGTAACAACCAACAAAGTTATTCTCAGCCCTGAAGTTTACAACAACCAAAAAGGCGAAATTGTTTCCCGTGTAAACCTTACCCTTACTTCAGTTCACTCTGCAACCGGAAACGTTCCTACCACTCAAAATCCTCAATCTTTGAAAAAACTCGTTTATGATTACAACTCTCCCTGGACCACCGACGCCGAAGCTCGTTCCAAATGGGACAAAAGAATCATGACCAAATCTGGAAAAATGAGAGGAATCGATAACATTATCAGAAGTGGACGTTCCATTGTCACCAATACCGCTAGTGGATTGCACGGTCATCTCGGAACTGGATTTGATGGTACCGAAGAATGGCATCAAAAAACTCCTTTAATAACCGAAGCACCAGAATGCCCTTTTCTTCCCTACTTCGTGGGAATGGCTGGACAATCTGTAGCCACAAAACCTTCCATTAACATTCAACAAGTTGCTAAAAAACTCGCTGAAGAAATTGGAACCCAATTGCAAGATGGAACTCAAGTTCCCAAAGAAAACACCCTCGCTCGTTTCTCCATCTTAACCAGAGTTATTCGTACCATGAATGCTCAACAATTAGAAAAAACCGCTCAAGAATTGTACGTTCCCGCAGAAGGAACAACCGGTGGTAAAACAACCGGAGGATGGGTGACTGACCCTCGCAGAAACGCCTGGATGGCTTTCCGTGATGCTGTCGTACAAGCTGGAACTGGCCCCGCTCTTTTAACCATTGTTAGTTTAATAACCACCCATAAAATTAAAGGAGAAGAAGCTGCTCAAGTCGTTGGATCTTTGGCCAACACTGCCAGATTCCCAACTACAGAATACTTGCAAACTTTCTTCGTGAGTAAAAATTTTATTTAACAACCTAAAAATCTATTTTGATTGTCATAAAAAAAAAAAATTATAACACGCGTTCTGGTTCTTTTTAGGACTTGGTCAAACATCCCGAAGTAACATCACAATACAACGTTTACAACTCTGCTCTTTTCGCATTTACAAACCTTGTACGTATGGCTCAAGTAAATGCCAGAACTGCTCACAACCGTTACCCAGTTCATGCTTTTGGTTATTTGACTCCTAAACACGAAACCATGGTCACCGAAACTTACATTCCTTACTTGGCCAAACAATTAGAACAAGCCGTTAGAGAAGGTCAAAGTACAAAAATTCAAACTTTTGTCAGAGCTCTCGGAAACATTGGTCACCCCAAAATTGTAGAAATTTTCGAACCATACCTTAATGGAAAAACACCAGTTACCGACTTCCAACGTACATTGATGGTTGTCTCATTGAATAAATTAGCTGTCGTTCACCCCGAATTAGCTAGATCCGTTTTGTACAAGACTTATGCCAACACCGGTGAAGTTTACCAAGTTCGTGTTGCTGCCGTTTACAACTTGATGAAGACCGTTCCACCAGCATCTATGCTTCAACGTATGGCTCAATTCACTCACGAAGATCCAAGTAACCAAGTTCGTTCAGCTGTCAAATCAGCCATTGCATCAGCAGCCGTTTTGAGCGAAGAAAGCGACAGCGAACTGTGAGTATTTAAAGCGGACGAAAATTTTTTTTGAATATTTACAAAAAAAATACTTTTTCTTTTTTTTTTTCTAGCCGTAAGAATGCTGAAGCCGCCGTAAACCTTTTGACACCACAAACATTCGGTGTACAATACTCTCACCATAACTTGACCGACTACATTGTTAAAGGATTGAACCTTGTTTACTTACAAACCGTAAGCAACATCGGAAGTGAAGACAGTTTAATTCCTCAAACTATCTTTTTCCACTTAAACCGTAACTTGAACGGATTTAAACAACAACGTGTCAGTGTAAGTAAAAAACAAAATTTCCATAAAAAATTTTTCCTATGAGTTTTCCCATAGTTTACGAAATGATTTCTTTTTAGGCTGGAGGTATGGTATCAAGCTTTAAAGATTTAGGAGATCTTTTGGAAGAAAAAATCAAAAACGTACACTACTTGGAATCTAACAGAAATGTTCAAGGTCCAACCGAAAAAGGATTCACCGTTGAAACCATAACCAACTTGCTTAACATGGAAGGAGGTTTAACTAAACAATTAGAAGGAAACTTGTTGATTGGAATGACTGGATTTTCAAGATTTTTCACATTCGATAATCAAACCATTCAAAAAGTACCAACTTATTTGAAAAAATTGACCGAAACGTTGAAAAACGGAAGAGCCATCAACTACCAAAAATTATACAACGAATACTCAGTAACCATTGGTTTACCAACCGCCACCGGTTTGCCATTAGTTTACACCTTGAACACACCAACTTTGTTAGGCGCTAAGGGAATGTTTTCAGCAAATGTCCCCACCACCAAGCAAACAAAAGATGGAGTTTTTGTTTTGCCCGACTATGTTAACACCACCACTCAAATGCACATCACTTACACCACTCGCACCCAAAGCAAAATTACTTTTATTACTCCATTCAACCAAAAACGTTACGTTGCCGGTTACGACAAGAACACCCAATTTGAAGTACCAATCAAAAAACAATTCAACTTGGACCTTAAAAACCATCACGTTAAAGTTGAAGTTGCTCCAGTTAAAGAAAACACCGACACAAAATTGTTCCATTACAGTACTTGGCCCTACGTTGCCGTTGACAACATTGTTGAATTCAAACCATTGGCTGAAAGTTCTATCATTCACCGCGTACAAAGTCACCCACTTCAAAAATTCCAACATATGTTGGGAGACAAAGAAATCGGTGTTGTTTTCCGTTTGGAAGGACAATCAGACAAAAACTACGTTGACTTAAGCAAATTCTACCAAAAATTCCTTAAACACGGATTTGTTCCAACTCTTTTAGCTTCCACATCAACCGAAAATATCGAACACACAACTCTTGATTTGTATTACGATGGACAAAAATCAACTGCTAAAAAAGTTATCTTAACTGGTTCATACCAATATTCTCCAGTTGAAACTACCACCTCCACCACCACCGAAGGTTCAATTCGTACAACTGAAAACGGTGCCGTCACAGGTACAAAAACCGTTGACAGCCAAGTCAGAAAGAATGAATTATTGCAAAAAGTCAAACAAGGAATTAAAAGTAGTTCAGCTGTAGTTGTCGACATGGGAATTCAAGTTGAAGGACAAACCAAAACTGAATTCCTTGCCACAGTAGCTGTCTCTACCAGTCCCGTCGATGGTCAAACCAGAGTTTTGGGTTACGGTCGCAAGAACGTTAACAGTAAAAACTTTGAAGTTTGTTTGGACGTAGCTAGCGTCATTCCAAAAGTTTCCGTTGTCGACTTCACCAAGATCCTCGAAACAGACTTGAAAGGTGACATTTATGGAAAACTTTTGTTCGGAGAACAATGCCAAACAGGATCAAAAGTATCCGTCGTTGGAGAACTCAAACGTACCCAAGAAAGAAAAGAATACTTGGAAGGTCAACCAATTGTTAAACAAGCCAAAATAGAAAAATCATCCGGATACAATTTGCAACCATCTCAAACTCACGCTTCCAAGGAAGCCGGAATCTTCGATGACTACACTTTTGTCGTCAAATACGAAAACGTACCTGAAACCGTCAAAAACATTACTTACAAAACTTACAAAGCTCTTCAATACTTCGGATACCCATTCTTGACCGAAAATGTTGTTGGTCAAACCAATCTTCAAGAAGGTCAAGTTGAATTAGGAGTTAACTTTACACCTGACCTTAAGGCTCTCAACCTTTACATCTACTCTCCTCTTGGAGATTCTAGATTTAGTAACGTTCACTTAAATCCTTTGGTTACCAAGGGTTTGACCATTCATCCAATGTACACAACCATCGAAAGAATTGCTAACGTTGCTTTCAACGAAAAATACCAAGGTACATATTGAATGACGCCATTTTGAAAACGTTTTAGTTAATTTTTATTTATATATAAATTTTTCTTTTTTTTTTTTACTTACAGCCAGTTGTACCGTTGACCAAACTAACTTTAGAACATTTGACAACAAATCATACTCTGTCAATTTGGAAAAAGTATGGCACGTCATGTTGTTCTCAGATTTGAAAGGAACTTACGAAACTCCTGTCACCGATGACGTAACTCAAACCACCGACTACGTCATTGCTTTGGTCAAAAATAACGCAGACAAACAAAAAGTTCTTAAGATTGTTGTTAAAGGAATGGAATACACCGTTTTAGACGTCGTTCCAACTCCAACTGGAGAACTCCTCAAGGGAACCGTTAAAATCAACGGCCAAGAAATCCCTGTTTCTAGTCAACACGTTTACGAATACAAGGCTAGCGACAAGATAACCGTTCTTCAAGTTTACGGATTACCAACCGGAGAAGTTAAAATCGTATCTCCTGTTTACAAATTCGCCATTTTGTACTACGGAGAAACCGCACGCATCACCGTTAACCACGACTACATGAACCAAGTTAAAGGTCTCTGCGGAACCAACAACGGTGACAACTTTGACTTTATAACTCCTCAACAATACGTACTTCGCAACCCAGAAGAATTTGCTGCCACTTGGGCACTTTCAAGCGAAGGATACACCGGCGAATTGAAATCTCGCGCCATTAAACACTCAATGTTTAAAAAATCTGTTAACATGACTCCAGTCATCAGCGAACAAGACCTTACTCACATCGCTATGCACAGAGCTCAATACCCAACAACAACCGGTACAATCAAATCAGGTTCCACATCCTCCGAAGAAACTCACGAAGAAAACAGCGAAATATACATGCAATTAAAGAAAAACAGTTCAACCGGTTGTGTGACCGCTCGTGTCAACGTCATCGAAAAGGATGGAAAACACTGTTTCTCCGTTCATCCTCAACCAATGTGCACGACTCAATGTCACTCCGAAACCACAAAACCTAGAACAGGTGAATTTTTATGTGTTGAAAAATCCAGTACTACCAACCACTGGCAACAAATGATCGCACGCGGTGCCAACCCAGACTTCAGAAACAAAGGAAAAACCACATTCATGGAATACCCATCACCAATTAAATGTGTACAAAACTAATAAAATTTTACAAAAAAAAGAAGAAATTTGTCAAGTCTACGTGTCATCAACACCATCACCAATACTACCGCTACCACCACCACCACCGCAAAAACAAATTAATTAAAAACAACAATTTAAAGCAAAAACATTTCCGACCGCAATAAACAAACGCAAAAAAACCAAAAAAAAAAAAAAATTTATCAATAAAAAATTTCAATAAAAATGTAAATCGATACCTGATGACGTAAGCAAAATAAATAAAAAAAGTTTTTTTTACTAATTTAACTTTGTTTTTTTTTACATAAATAAATAAATAATAATAATAATTAATAATAATAAAATATTACACGATATGCGATATACATTAATTTTTTTTTGTTTGTCGTTGTTGTTGTTGCTGTTGTTGCTTCATGTGTGTGTGGTGCTTAAAATTATTTTTAGTCATTTTAAAAATGAGTAAATTTTAAAATTTGCCTTTTTTTTCCCCCCTTCTCCCCATTCCCCGACCTCCCCTTCTTTTTTTGTTATTTGGCATTTTATTATCGACAATAAAAATCGACTTTGAAAAATTCAAATAATAATAATAATAATAAAAATCTCACGCTTATTATTTTTCGATCGAAAAAAAATTAAAATCTTTTATTATTATTACTATTATTATTACTACGGCCCCCCCTTATTATTATTAATATTATTTTTATTATTATTATTTTCACACGATTATAATTTTTGAAAAAAAAATTAGTTTTATTTATCGTTATTTATTAACTGTTTAAAAAATTATTCGAGCAGGGAAATTTTTTGTTTTTTTTTTTTTTTTTTTTTTTTTTTAAATCACGTTGGTATCACTTGGTATTAATTTATCATTATTATTATTATTTTTATTTACAATTAAAAATATGTTTATCAAAGAAATTTAATTTAAAAAAGAAAAGAAATTTAAAAAAATTTTAAATTCAAACGGTCGGTTTATAAAATTTTTTACCAAACGGCGGCGGCGCTTTTCAAAAACATCATCATCATCATCATCGTCGTACTGGGGGGAAAACAAAAAAATTTTTTCGTGTTTGAATTCAGTGAAAATCGGGGGCTCGTATCGAGCTGTTCGTCTTTTAAAGGAGAGAAAAAAAAGGGAAAAATTTTATAAATTTTCTTTTTCTTTAATTTTCTTTTTTTTTTTTTTTTAATAAAAACATTCCCGGTTGTTTCGATATTATTATTATTTATTTATTTATTTATTAATAAATTTTTTTTATTAATTAATTAATTAAAAATTAAAATAAAAAAATAATAAAAAAACATGAAATATCATTTTAAAAAAATTTCGTTGTAAAAAAAAAACATGTAAAATTTATTTATTTATTTTGGGGTAAGTTTATTATTATTATTATTATTATTATTATTATTATTATTATTATTAATAAATTTTTTTTTTTTTAAACTTTAAAAGGGTTCTTGAAATTTTTTTTAAATGTACTTTCAAAACAATTATTATTATTATTTACGATTGATTCGAATTTTTTAAAAAACAAAACAATTAATTACGTTGAAGAAAATAATAAAAAAAAAATCGGATTTTTAAATGACGAATATTCTAGAATGTTTGCTTTCTTACAAACATAACTAAACGATTCTTATTTTTTTTAATTAATTTAAAATGTAAAAAAAAAAAATACTTTTTTTTATTTAATTAATAACGTTTTTACCCGTTACGTTCGTTACAACCGTTGCAAAATGAAAACACGAAATTATTATCATTATCACTATCATCATTATTATTATTATTATTTGTTTTGATAACAAGCAGAAGAAAGAGTTTTTTTTTTTTTCGACCGAACGGTTTCCTATATAAAAATTTTTCTTTTTCTTTTTCTTTTTCTTTTCTTCTCATAACGGTTACCGTAACGAGATAAATAATAATAATAATAATAAATTTAACGATTGAAAAAAAATGACGTAATATTAAAGGTATAATCGAAAAAGGAAAGAAAAGAAAAGGAAACCGGAAATCGTTAAAGTCGTTAAACGATTCGAGCGGAGAGAAATAAAACCGTAATAAGTTAATAAGATTGAACAACATTTTTAAAAAATAAAAATATTATTTCATAGAGTAAAAAAAAAAAATTACGATTGGCAAACCTGTACGGAAAAAAACCCGCGAATTTAAAAGTAAATATATCATATTTATGAGAAAAAAAAATTTTTTAATAAACTTTAAGTTTTTTAAATGTAAAAATAGAAATTAAGGCATTTTCGATGCCAATGTGTTTGTCGTCGGTTCCTCCTCCTCCCCCGCCTCCCCCTCTTCCCTTCTTATTGCGTCTTAATTTTTTTGTTGATTAAAAAACTTTCGTTTGTTTAATTTTTTTTTTTTTTTTAAAAGAACAAATAAAATCGAAGAAATCAGAATAAAAAAAAAAAAAATGGCGTAAACTTTTCATCGTGAAAAAGATGTAATGATTCTCCCTTCCCCCCTTCTCACTCCATCGCGTCTCTCTCTCTTTCTCACTCACACGCACTCCCGAAAAGAAAAAAAGCTTTCAATAATAATAATAATATTATTAATTAGGAGTATTACAACGACAATAATAATAATAATTATAAAAAATTTGTTACAAGACGATGAATCTTTCACTCTCTCTCTCTTTCTCTCTCTCTCTCTTTTTGTAAATCATAAACTACAATAATAAGTTTGGAAGATGATGAGGGGGGGGGGAAGGGAAAGGGCATAAAAAAAAAATTTTTCCGACGATGTTTCGTTAATTAAATTAAATTTTTCTTTTTTTTAATTTTACCTTTGATACTATTAATAATAATAATAATAATTTCTTTTTCTCTCTCTACGAATTAACTAAAACGTCTACATTTTTTCTTTACTCCCCCTCTCCTCCGCTACCCCATCTTCTTCTCCCTTTTACATTTTCCTGAAGGATATTTAACAAGAAAGAAAAAAAAAGTTATGATAATAAAAACAAATAAATAAATAAATGAAAACTTATACGGCGTTTAGTAATAAATCTTTCAAAAATAAAAAGTAAAAAAAAATTGTTTAAAAATTTGCCGCGATAAAACGCCTCGCGAAAAAAAAATCAAAAAATTTTATTTTATTTTATTATATTTTCTTTATCTTTTTAGGTTTTTTTTTTTTTAAATTCGCCCAACGCTTCCACCTTTTTTTTAAAATTAACATTATTATTATTTTTTTTTTTTAAATAATAAATAATCGAAATTCAACTATTATCGATTATCGATTATCGATTATTTATTAATATATATATTCTGATAAAAATAAATAAATAAATATTTTTAAAATTCATAAATAAATTTTTGAAAAAAAAAAAAACTCTCGACATTTAAAAAAAAAAATTTTCTTTAAAAATCGAACGCCATTAAAATATTATCTAAAGAATATAATGATGATGATGATGATGATGATAATGATGATGAAGACGACGAGGAAAAAACATTAAAAAAAGAAAAAGAAGAAAAATAAACAATTTTATAAAAAAAAAAAACTATTAAAACGCCGCAATTTAAAAAAAAAAAAAAAAATTACCGGATTTAATAATAATGATAATAATGATGATAATAATGATAATAATGACGATAATAATTTTTACTTAAGATAAAAAAAAAAAAATTTAAAAAGGCGAACGAACGAACGCTTTTCTTTTTTTTTTTTTTTAAAATCTTACTTATTAATTTTTAAAAGGAGATAAAATCACTTCGGATAAACAGAGAGAGAAAGAGAAAGAGGGGAGAAAGAGGAGAGAGAGGAGAGAGTGGGATACAAAAAGGGATTTTAAATTCGTTTAAAAAATAAAGAAGATTTGAAGGAAAAAAATTTTTTCTTTTATAAAATTTACGTCACGATGTTTTCAAATGCAATGATTATAAATCACGAGAAGGTTTTTTTTTTTTTTTGAATTATTTCTGACGTTTTTTTTTTTTTTTTTTAAAAACTTTTGATGTCGCGACAAATAATAAACTCCCATAATAATAATAATAATAATAATAATAATAATAATGAACGAAGGTCACGGATAAATTTCCCGACCCCCCCCCCAAAAAAAAAATAAAATAAAAACTTTTATATCCAGTTTGGTTAAATTCCAGTTTAAAATTTTTCCTTTTTTCCATTTTATGAATGAATAATTTTTTTTTTTGTTTTAAAACGAACGTTGACGTTTTATAAATATAGTATAACTCTATAAATATATAGCACATTCTCGCTATAATTTTCTTCATTTATTTATTTATTTAAAAAAGATTTTTTTTTTTTGTATCGTCAAAAGATTTTTAAAAAAATCATGTTTCAATTTTTTTTCTTTCCTTTTTTTTTTATCAAATTCGGACTTTTTTCCTTTTATATATATTTAACTCCTTTTATTTTCCTTTTACTTATCATTTCCTTTGACAAAAAAGGAAATAAAAAAATTTTTTTTTTTTTCAACATTCTGTCATTTACAATTTTTCTGATAATTTCTTCCTTTTTTTTTGTTTGACTTTTTATTTATTTATTTAACTTCAAAAAAGAAAAACGCGATAAAATTATTATTATTATTATTATTATTATTATTAATTTTATAACAGGAAATAAATAATCTACTCGCGTAATTTTTTTTTTTTTAAATGTAAAAAAGATTTAACGAAACGATATTATATATATAAAAACAAATCGGATAAAGTTTTTTTTTCTCTCTATTTCCGGTATATTTATCAAAAAAGTTTAATTTCTTAAAACAAAATAAAAAAAAAATTTTTTTCGCAAAAACACATCGATTTAAGATCGTGCGTACGTATGTGCGTGTGCGTGCGTGTGCGTGCGTGTGCGTGCGTGTGCGTGTGATGCGAATCTTCGACGTAAGATTCATAGTCGGATATTTTTAAATGACGTCAAAAAAAAAAAAAATGAAAAGTGTTAATATTTCTTCTTCTTCTTCTTCTTAATGCGAAAGATATTAATTTTGTTCAGAAAAAAAAAAAAAAACATTTTCGATACGTATTAACGAAAGTGT